GGCCTGTTTTGGCTCAGGCTTCATACTTTCCTAAAATATCTCAAACAAGCAGCATCTGGTGTCAGTGTGCCCCATACCTCCCATTAAATGGCGCCAGGCCCACCACTAGCAGTAGTCAGCCTTGGTTTGCAACTTGACCTCTTCTGGGCACCTCCAAGTCCGACTCAAGTAGCAGCCATCTGCAGATTGTTTTGTAGCTCATGCTGGGTGACCCTAGGAAGAACATAGGCTGCAGCTGACCTTTGCCTGCATCTCCCAGGAGGCCCCAAAGCAATGCACCCAATGGACAACTTCAGACCATTATGAAGCACCACCCAACCACCTCCACAAGTGACTCAGGGCGTGTTCTCAGCAGGCATCAGAGCCCCGCTGAAGTAAGTCTTGCTCTGTGGGGTGGGCTCCTGCACATTTGATCCTGTATAGTAGTTGGAGGTTGGTAGTTAGTGGTCTTAGCCAGTCCTTGCAAGCTGATGGACCTGGGGGTAAATCCCTCATTGATAGGCCAACAGCAGTCAAGGCTCAATTACAAAAAGGTATACACAGCCCATGTGGGGGGTGCACTTTGAGTGCCCAGTTTGGGTGATTGTGAAGACTATGCCACTGGACCCTATAGAACACCTACTACATTAGGCCACTCTACCAAGCCTGGGAGATGTAGCAGGTCTACCTAATACATTGAAACTAATATAGGGAAGCTGCCAAAATGAGATCAGAAACATATCCCAAATGAAAAAACAGAACAGAACTCCAGAAAAAGGACTAAGCAAAATGGAGACAAGCAATCTACTAGATGCAGAGTTCAAATCACTGGTTATAAGGATGCTCAATGAACTTAGAATCTCAACAACGTGAAAAAGGACCAGTCAGAAATAGAGGATACACTAATTGAAGTGAATATTTTACAGGGAGTCAACAGTAGAGTAGATGAAGCTGAAAATCAAATTAGTGATTTAGAATATAAGAAAGCAAAGAACACCCTATCAGAACAGGAGAAAAATAAATAAATAAATGAGGATAGTCCAGCTGGTGTGGCTCAGTGGTTGAACATTGCATGTACCAGGAGATCGCCAGTTTGATTCCTGGTCAGGGCACATGCCCAGGTTGTGGGCCAGGTACCCAGTGGGGGGCATGCAAGAGGCGGCTAGTCTATGTTCTCTCTCATCGATGTCTCTATCTTTCTGTCTCCTTTCCTCTTTAAAAGCAATAAAAGAAAAACATTTTTTTAAAAAAAGAGGATAGTGTAAGGAATCTCTGGGACTACTTCAAGTATACCAACATTCTCTTTGTGGGGGTGCTGGAAGTTGAAGAGAGAGAGAGCAAGAAATTGAAAACCTATTTGAAAAAAAATAGGGACAGAAAACTTCCCTAACTTGGTGAAGAAAATGGACATAAAAGTCCAGCAAGTACGGAGAGTCTCAAACAAGATGAACCCAAAGAGGCTCACACCAAGACACATCATAATTAAAATGCAAAAGGTTAAAGACAAAAGAGATAATCTTTTTTTTTTTAATCCTCACTTAAGGGTATGTTTAGAGAGAGGAAGGGAGAGAGAAAGAGAGAGAAAAAATGATATGAGAGAGACATCTATCAGTTGTCTCCCATACATGTCCCAACCAGGGATCAAACTTACAACCTAGGTATGTGCCCTGACTGGGGATCGAACCCACAACCTTTTGGTGTATGGGATGATGCTCCAATGAACTGAGCCACTTGGCCAGGGCCAAAGTTACCTACAACGGAGCTCCCATAAGACTGCTGATTTCTCAACAGAAACTTTGAAGGCCAGAAGGTATTGGCACAAAATAGAATATTCTAAGTAATGAAAAGCAAGGCCCTTCAACCAAGATTACTCTATTCAGCAAGGCTATCATTTAGAAAAGGACAGATAAAGAACTTCACAAACAAGAAAAAGCTAAAGGAGTTCATCATTACCAAACCAGTATTATATGAAATGTTAAAGGGTCTTTAAGAAGAAGAAGAAGAAAGATAAAAAATGTGAACAACAAAATGGCAATAAATACATGTCTGAACAATTGAATTAAAAAAAAAATTAAGCAGAACAGAAACAGACTCATAGATACAAAGAACATTTTGACACTTGTCAGATTGGGGGTAGGAGGTGGGTTGGAGATTGGGGGATGGGTGAAAAAGGTGAAGGGATTAAAAGTCCAAACTGGTTGGTACAGAATAGTCATGGGGATGTAAAGTACAGCATAGGGAATATAGTCAATATTCTAATAACTATATAGTGTCAGGATGATCACTTAGTAAGTTATGTAATGTCTAATCACTGGGGTGTACATCTGAAACTACTATAATGTACGTCAACTGTAATTGAAAAATGAAAAAATTCAGTATAATACCATCTTTAACGTAAATATGCAAAATCTCTTTTGTCATGTAAAATAGCAAATTCACAGGTTTTAGGCTTTAAGACATGGACATCTTTGTAGGCCATTCTGCCTACCATATGGGTCAACAATAAAAGAAATAAATTGTGATATTTTTTATATAATACAGCAGGGAAAATATATGTGCTTCTGTTAAACACATCATCTTGGATAGATGTCAGAATATAATGTTAACAAAGAAACACATTGCAGAAGAATCCACACATTATATCTCTTTCATGTTAAAGTTCAAAAACAGAAAAATAAATTTCTAAGTATATTGTTTAGGGATATATCCTATGCAATGAAATTTACAAAGAAAAGAAAAAAATTAACAAAACTAATACTTTTTACTTCTGGGGGAGGGTGATGACTGTAATTAAGGAGGACTCTTTAAAGCAATGGTTCTCAACCTTCCTAATGGCGCGACCCTTTAGTATAGTTCCTCATGCTGTGGTGACCCCCAAACATGAAATTATTTTTGTTGCTACTTCATAACTGTGATTTTGCTACTGTTATGTCTTAGGCAACCCCTGTGAAAGGGTCGTTCGACCCACCAAGGGGTCACGCCCACAGGTTGAGAACTGCTGTTTTAAAGTTTGGTTATACACAGGTTTTTGTCTTAGTAGTAGTAGTTTTTTTGTTGTTAATCCTCACTTGAGGATATTTTTCTATTGATTTTTAGATAGAGTGGAAGGGAGGGAGGGAGAAAAAGAGAGAGAGAAACATCGATGTGAGAAAGACACATTTTTTGGTTGCCTCCTGCACGAACCCAACAGGGGCCTGGGATCAAACCTGCAACCCAGGTATGTGCCCTTGACCGTAGAGCATCAGCCCTCAGACCGAAGAGTCTTAGAATTGAACCTAAGATCCTTCCGTCTGAGGGCTGATGCTCTAACCGCTGAGATAAGCTGGCAAGGACTTAGTAGTAGTTTTTAAGAGTTAGAAATATGTACATGGTAATTTTGTGTATCTTACCCCAGTCTCTACCATAATTAAAATACATTTAAAATAAAACAAAATACAAACAAAAACTTTCTAGGTTTCAAAACATTTTATGCAGAAACTGTGATTTCTTGTAACTTTTTCTTAACTTGCTGACAATTTTGTCATTTCAAAAATGAAACCATACATTATGGAACCTTTAGGATTAGTGTTTTTCACTCAGCATAATTCCCTGGAGCTTTGTCCAAGTCGTGCATGCCAGTCCCATTTTAAAATTTAGCAGAAAAATGTTTTATGGAATTTTTGGACCCTGAACTTACTTTTGTAAATATCAGTTTTTCTTTGATTAACATATACTTCGGGTAGGAATAACAGCATGTGTTTTAAAGTGCAAAAGACTTCGGACTAAGTCTCATTCCTACTTTGGAAAAATGACTTGAACCTTGCTAAGCCTTAATTTCCTTATGTGTAAGATGGGGCTAACGCCTATTTCACTGGGTATTTAGAGAATGAGATAATGTATGTAACGCTCTTAGCATCATGCCTGTCACATAAGTGTTCCTTCAATAAATGGCAGTCTAAAAGAAAGACAGGGTTATTACAGCAATATTATTTCAGTTGGTGACTTCTAGGTTAGTCTTGGAAGCAAGTGCTTTAGCATTCCAACAACTACTTGGATTTTTTATTTTATCCTCACCCGAGCATATGTTTTTATTGATTTTTAGAGATAGAAGAAGAGAGGGAGGGAGGGAGGGAGAGAGAGAGAGAGAAAGAAACGTCAGTTGGTTGCCTCCTGTACATGCCTGGTAAGGGTTCGAACCCACAATGTAGGTATGCGCCCTGACTGGAAATCGAACCTGCAACCTTTTGGTGTATGGGATGATGCTCCGATCAACTGAGCCACCCAGGGTGACTACTTGGATTTAATATATGTTTAGGCAAGGGAAAGAGCATTCAATATCTTTCTTTTTGACCACTAAACAAGAATGTTTAGTTGTTTAGTTCTTCAGAATGGGTATATCTAATTCTTCTGTTGTTTTTTATTGAATTAACCATAGTAAATAGGGACTACTTTGCTATATACCTTAATTAGCAAATACTAGTTATTTTGAATGTATAAATTATCTTTTTAAAATTTTATTACTTATTTTTGTTACAGATGTATCTCCTTTTCCCCCATTGACACCCTCCTCCCCACTCCCATTCCCTCCCCACTTTCACAGTATTGTTGTCTAAGTCCATTGGTTATGCATGTATGCATATAAGTTCTTTGATTTATCTCTTCCCAGCCTCCCCTCCCCTTGCTCTGAGGTTTGTCAGTCTGATCCCTACTTCCATGTCTCTGGGTCTATTTTGTTCATTATATTCCACAAATAAGGGAGATCATGTGATATTAGTCTTTCTCTGATTGGTTTATTTTGCTTAGTATGATACTTTCCAGGTCCTCCATGTCATCTCAAAGGATAAAAGATCTTTCTTTCCTATAGCTGCATAGTATTCTATTGTGTATTTGTACCACAGCTTTTTTATCCCCTATTGACGGACACTTGAGCTGTTTCCAGGTCTTAGTATAAATTATCTTTTTATGTAACACTACAGATTTGTTAATGTTCAAACATCATTTACATATTTACAATTTTATATATGTATATATATTTTTTCTAGGTCATTGGAGTCCTGGATGATTGCTTGTGTGATACTGATAGCATTGATAACTTTAACACCTACAAAATCTTCCCCAAAATTAAAAAATTGCAAGAGCGAGACTACTTTCGTTATTACAAGGTATGGTTATAATTTTTTATTCTATTGGTAACAAAGACTTTTATATAACTGTCTGTATTCCCACAGCCCTGGTCAGTAGTAGGCACTCAGATATTTTAATAAATGAGTGAATATCTCATTTAATTTTATTTTAAATTCTCACCTGAGGACATTTTTCCATTTTTGCTCAGATAGAGTGGAAGGGAGAGAGGAACAGAGAGAATGAGAGAGAAAAACATCGATGTGAAAGGGACACATTGAGTGGTTGCCTCCCGCACGACCCTAACCAGGACCGGGGACGAATCACAACCAAGGTACATGCCCTTGACCAGAATCGAACCTGCGACTCATTGGTCCGTGGGCCGACCTCTATCCGCTGAGCCAAACCAGCCAGAGCTCATTTAATTTTTATACTGACCACTGTCAGGTCAGTGTTAGCCATATTTTACAAATGAAGAAACAATGGTTTAGGTATTCTAGGTAGAAGTTTTATTAAGAAAAGGTGTGGAGCAGCTCACAAAATTGGAAGATAAGCTGAAGCAGCATACTTCAGAAAAGAAAGAACTCAGAATAGGAGCTAATGACTGTTCTCTTTGTGGTGCCCCCTTTCCCCCCATCCGCCCACAATTTTGGATCAAATTCACCATTTCCCCATATATTTTTTATTTATTTATTTATTTTCTAATTCTCACCTGAGGACATTTTTCCATTTTTTGTTCAGATAGAGTGGGAGGGAGAGAGAGGAAGAGAGAGAGAAACATCGACGTGAAAGGTACACATCGAGTGGCTGTCTCCCGCACGACTCAACCAGGGCCAGGGACAAACTGCAACTGAGATACGTGCCCTTAGCGGGAACTGAACCCGGGTCTCTCTGGACCGCAGGCCAACGCTCTAACTGCTGAGCGAAATTGGCCAGGGCATGTCCCCATATTTTTTGCAACACTTTCTATAAGAGGCAGATTCCTGGGAGAAAAGGTTAATTGTCTAGGTAGGGTCATGTGACCCCTTTGACTGAAAGAGGGAAAGACACTTTGACTAACAGTCCTATTTACCAAATATAAAGGAAGTCATTGTTTCTCAAACGGAGATTAGAGGAGATTGCAGAAGAAGGAAAAACGAAAGTTGGACAGGCAAAATTTACAATATGGTCCTTGGCTACCAATATACAATTTGTCCGTATATATGACATTTTAAAAATGTTCTTACCAACATAATGAAATTCCTCCCTGTGTAACCAGAATATACCCATATCTTCTCCCCAAGGACAGGAATGAAATGATCTGGTTAATGTATTAAGCTTCAGGTCTAGGGTATTTAGCTGATATCCACTCCTAGTTCTGTCAACGTATAAATTAAGCAAAAAGGAAATTTAACCAACATACTTTATTAATTTTATGCATACCTATGTATTTATGCAGTAAGGAATCATAGGCAGAAATAACAGCATACCTCTACCAACTGGCTAGTTGGCTGCTGTAGCTAGTAGTTGAAACTTCTCTCTTGTATGATCCATTCGGTTCCTTTATTCACTCGGTTCCTTTATTCACCCGGTTCCTTTATTCACCCGGTATTTATTGAATTATTAATTACTTTGTAGCAGGCTGTATTCTAGGTACTTTGGATACAGTCCTGAATAAGACAGAGACTTTGACCTCATGGAGCTTTTCTTCTGATCAGGGAGACAAACAATAAACAAGTGAACAAATATAATTGTATGTGGTTCTAAGATAAGTGCCATGGAGGAAAATATAGAGAAGTGGGAGATAGAGAGTAATGGGGTTGGGGAATGTCAGTGGCCCTATTTAAAAGCAGGTGGTCAGGAAAGGAAGGTATACATGCTGTGCCATTTCGCAAAGACCTTCCTAATGTGAAAGAGGAAGCAGTGAGAGTATCTGGGAAAAACATTCCAGGGAGGAGATCTAGAACTGCATGCAGGTGGACGGAGTATTTGAGGAATAAGATGTCAACTGGTGTAGCTGGAGGAAAGGGAGGGAGAGGGAGAGTTGGAGAGGCAGATAGGGGCCAGAGGAAAACAATCAGGAGGCCCTATTAAACACATGAGGATGTTGGGATTTATTGTAAGTATGATAGGAGCTACTGGAGAGATTTGTTCAAAGTAGAATGTAATGGTGTGAGACAAGAAGTAGAAACTGGTTAGGAGGCTGCTGCAGCAGTCCAGATGAAAGAGGGTAGGTTTGGGATAGGGTAGTTGAGGCGGAAGAGGAGAAGAATGATCAACTCAGTGTCGTATATAAAAGTAACTCCACCCGGGCCGGTTTGGCTCAGCGGTTAGAGCGTTGGCCTGTGGTCCAGAGAGACCTGGGTTCGGTTCCTGCTAAGGGCACATACCTCGGTTGCAATTTGTTCCTGGCCCTGGTTGGGTTGCGTGGGTGGCAACCACTTGATGTGTCCCTTTCACGTCGATGTTTCTCTCTCTCTCTCTTCCTCTCTCTCCCTCCCACTCTATCTTAACAAAAAACGGGTAAGGATAAAATAAAAAGTAACACCAACAAGCTTGTCTTATGGATTGAACGTGAGGTGTGAGGGAAGAAGCAAAATCAAACATTATACCTAAGTTTTGAGCATATTACCAAAAAATATATCGTGACCAAGTGGATTTTATTCCAAGAATGCAAGGACGAGCTTTCAGGCTTTCAACACACATTCCAGATCTTTAGAATGATGGGTACTTCCTTAACATGATCATTTCAGTCCTTACATTAGTATTGCTAGTATCTTACTTATGGGGAGACACTAAAGGAATTCTCACTTAGATGCTCTCTTTAACGGTTGGAGGTATTAGCCAGTGTAGTCAAACAAGAAAAAACAACTAGAGACAAAAGTTTTTGAAGAATATGTAAAACTTTCTCCACTTATAAATGACAAAGATATACCTAGAAAACTCAAAGGAAATCGTAAAATGAACACAAACAATAAAATATGCGTAGCAGGCTATAAACTTAAGAAAATATCAGTATGTTCATAATTACAAACAGTAACAAATTAGAAAATCTAGTAGAAAAGAAATCCCCATTTACATTAGCAACAAATAAAGACAAACTATATAGGAATAAATATAGAAGAAATGTGTAAAATCTGAAGTGAGAAAGCCCCAAAGCACACCTGACACAAAAATAGGCTTGACCAATGGGCAGGTGTCTTCTGCAGCATAAAGATGTTAATTCTCCCCCAAGTTAATATATCAATTTAATGTGATCCCATTAAACATACCAATAGTTGTTTTTTTCCTGGAGCTGGACAAGTTGTCACAGGTTAATTGCCCTGGGAAGCCAATTCTGAGACAATGATTAGTGTGTGAGAGGTTAATTAGGAACTACTCTTGGAACCAACAAGTTAGGCAAGGAAAAGGGAAGGAGGCAGTCAGGATTGGGAGAGGGAGAAGTAAGGCTGCGATACAGCCTCCCTCCATGGACACCTCAATGACCCATAGGAGAGTTAAGAAGGGTGACCCACCAGAGCTGTCCCCAGTTGAGGGAGGGTCCAGGCCTTTATATTGCCACACCAGTTTTTGGATGATGACCATCACAGGAAGGGGTGGGGGGCCTTGGGCAAAGTGGCTCTTTTCAGTGGAGGTTGGCTGCCTACGATACTTCAGAAATCCTTTATTCCTGAAGGGTGATCTGTGCAGCGTGCTAGAGTGTCTTCCAGAGTCCACTCCTCATACTGCGTGTTCGTTATCTATTGCTACATAAACAATGAGCCTGAAATTGAGCAACGTAAAATAGCAAACTGAGAATGTGGCATTTGAAGAAGACCTAAAGGAAATGAGAAAGGAAGCCATGTGGATAAACAGAGAGCTTTCAGGCAGAGGGAGCAGCAAGGGCAAAGGCCCTGAGGCTATAGGGTGCCTCCTGTTTTTGAGGAACCACAAAGATGCCAGTGAACAAGGGCTGAGAATGGGACCAGACCATGCAGGGCCTTCTTGGACAGTATAGGAACTTGGATTTTGAACTGACCTGATTTTCAGAGGTGTTGTATGTGGAGTGAGAAAGAAAAGATATCAGGATTATGCCAAGATTTTAGCTTGAGGAACTAGAATAAAGTAGTTATTTACAAGATTGCAAAAATTGCTAGAGGGACACAACACAGAAAGAAAACTAAAGGCCAATATCATGAACATAGATGAACATAGATGCCAAAATCCTGAACAAAATACTAGCAAATCGGATCCAGCAATACACCAAAAAAATTATCCACCATGACCAAGTGGGATTCATCCCAGGGATGCAAGGCTGGTACAATATTCGCAAATCAATAAACGTGATACACCACATAAATAAAATGAAGAATAAAAACCACATGATCATATCAATAGATGCCGAAAAAGCCTTTGACAAAATCCAGCATCCATTTCTGATAAAAACGCTCAGCAGTGTGGGAATAGAGGGATCATATCTCGACATAATAAAGGCCATATATGAAAGACCTACAGCCAACATCATACTCAATGGGCAAAAACTAAAAGCATTTCCCTTAAGAACAGGAACAAGGCAAGGATGCCCACTTTCGCCACTCTTATTTAACATAGTACTGGAAGTCTTAGGCACAGCAATCAGACAGGAAGAAAAAATAAAAGGGATCCAAATTGGAAAGGAGGAAGTGAAATTGTCATTATTTGCAGATGACATGACACTATACATAGAAAACCCCAAAGACTCCATCAAAAGTTTACTAGACTTAATAAATGAATTTGGCAAAGTAGCAGGATACAAAATTAACATTAAGAAATCGATGGCAACCTTTTACACCAATGATGAACTCACAGAAAGAGAAACTAAGAAAACAATCCAATTTACCATTGCGGCAAAAAAATTAAGATGCCTAGGAATAAACTTAACCAAAGAAATAAAGGACCTGTTCGCAGAAAACTACAGGTCATTGAAAAAAGAAATAGAGGAAGATATAAAAAAGTGGAAGCACATACCCTGTTCATGGATTGGGAGAATTAACATCATTAAAATGTCCATATTACCCAAAGCAATCTATAGATTCAACGCAATCCCCATCAAAATACCAACAGCATACTTCACAGAATTAGAACAATTATTTCAAAAGTTCATATGGAACCAAAAAAGGCCTCGAATAGCCACAGCAATCTTGAAAAGGAAGAACAAAGTTGGAGGGAACACAATACCAGATTTCAGGTTATACTACAAAGCCACCATAATCAAAACAGCCTGGTACTGGCACAAGAACAGGTATATAGACCAGTGGAACAGAATAGAGAACTCAGAAATGGACCCTAGGCAATATGCTCAATTAATATTTGACAAAGGTGGCAAGAGCATACAGTGGAGTAAGGACAGCCTCTTTAATAAATGGTGCTGGGAAAATTGGACAGCTACTTGCCGAAAAATGAAACTAGACCATCAACTTACACCCTACACCAAAATAAACTCAAAATGGATAAAAGACTTAAATGTAACTCATGAATCCATAAAAATCCTAGAGGAGACTGTGGGCAACAAAATCTCAGACATCATACGCAGCAGAATTTTTACTGACACATCACCTAAGGCAATAGAAACAAAGGAGAAAATGAACACATTGGACTACATTAAACTCAAAAGCTTCTGCACAGCGAAAGATACAATCATCAAAACGGAAAGGCTACCCACTGTATGGGAGAGCATAATTGCCAATGATATATCAGATAAGGGGTTAATTTCCAATACATATAGAGTGCTCATACAACTCCACAAAAGGAAGACAAAGAATCCAATTAAAAAAATGGGCAGAGGAACTAAATAGACACCTCTCCAAACAGGACATACAAATGGCTAAGAGACATATGAAGAAATGTTCATCATCACTAATCATCAGAGAGATGCAGATCAAAACAACAATGAGGTATCACCTCACACCTGTCAGAATGGCCGCCATCAATAAATCATCAAACAACAAGTGTTGGCGAGGATGTGGAGAAAAGGGGACTCTAGTACACTGCTGGTGGGAATGCAGACTGGTGCAGCCACTATGGAAAACAATATGGTGTCACCTCAAAAAATTAAAAATTGGACTTCCATTTGACCCAGTGATCCCACTTCTAGGAATATACCCTAAGAAGCCTGAAACACCAATCAGAAAGAATATATGTACCCCCATGTTTGTAGCAGCACTATTTACAATAGCTAAAATCTGGAAACAGCCCAAGTGTCCATCAGTAGACAAATGGATAAAAAAGCTGTGGTACATATACACAATGGAGTACTATGCAGCTGTAAGAAAGAAAGATCTCTTATCCTTTGAGACTACATGGAGGGACCTGGAAAGTATCATCCTAAGTGAAACAAGCCAAACAGAGAAAGACAAGTTTCATATGATCTCACTTATTTGTGGAATATAATGAACATAACAGTCTGAGGAATGGGGTAGTCCCAGAGACGTGGAAGTGGGGTATAGACTGACAATCCCCTAAAGAGGGGGTGGTGAGGGAGAGATAAACCACAGAACTTATATGTATGTATGCATGAACAGTGGACATGGACAACAAACTGGGGAAAGGGTAGGGAGGGAGGGGGAGGGGGGAATCAGTGGGGGAAAAAGGAGAAACATCTATAACAAATTAATTAATAAAAAATAAAATAAATAAATAAAAAATACAAGATAAACCCTATAAAAAAAAAAAAAGAATTGCTAGAGGGAAGAGCACAGCTTTGGACATGTTAGTAAGTCTGAGGTGTCTCATTCTGTCCTGTGGAAGAAGAGAATGAGGGGAAGGGAGTGAGCCATGGAATGATCTGGAGGAACAGAGAACAGCCTCTGTAATGGTCCTGGGACAGGAAGGAGCACTGTGTGTGCCCAATAGGAAGGCCGGTGTGGCTGGAGGCATGTGGCAGGAGATGAGGTCAGGGGTGTGGGCAGAAGGCCAGGTGACAGAGGACCTGGTGAGCTAGCTGCAGACTTTGGGAATCCACAGGAAGGTTTTGAGTGGGAATCGATAATTATGCTTCAAAGAGATAGTTATGGCTGCTGTGTGAGAATCGAAGGTAGTGGAAGCAGACACTTACAGTAGTCTAGGCAAGAAATGAGTGGTGGCAGTGGAGGCCATGAGGAGAGGATAATGAACTGTTTGAAGGGGATGAAAAAGAAAGGAAACAAGAATTAAAAAACTGTGGTCTGCCCTGGCCAGTTTGGCTCAGTGGTTGAGCGTTGGCCTGCGGACCAGAGAGTCCTGGGTTCAGTTCCCGCTAGGGGCACATACCACACAAACAAACAAACAAACAAACAAACAAAAAAAACTGTAGTCTTTGACTTGGGAGATCCATCTGCAAGTCTTTTTTTTTTGTTTTTAATCCTCACTCGAGGACATTTTTCCAGTTTTTGTTCAGATAGAGTGGGAGGGGGAGAGAGGGAGGGAGAGAGAGAAACATCGACGTGAAAGGGACATATCGAGTGGCTGCCACTCGCATTACCCAACCAGGGCCGGGGACAAATTGCAACCGAGGTACATGCCCTTAACGGGAACTGAACCCAGGTCTCTCCGGACCGCAGGCCAATGCTGTAACCGCTGAGCCAAACCAGCCAGGGCCATCTACAAGTCTTATTGAATTACTGTCTTCCCGTCGTGTTTAGAATATGACATTCCAGAGTTTCTACGATGGTTAAAATGCCCTGCATGACCTGTCCGTTGCCTGTCCCTCCCTCACTCCCTGCCACTCTCCCCCTGCCCCACCCAAAGTCAGTAAATTGGTGGTTTTCTGTTCTTAGCAGCTTCTGAGCTCTGTCACCTTAGCCAAACACGTTTGTTCCTCTGACGTTCATCTGTCCTTAAATATTACTTCCTCTGAGGCCTCTGGCCAGCAGCCAATCATTTTCCATCAGAAAAATCTAGATTCTCCTTGGTAGCACTAACCATAATTTATTATTAAAGAAACATACAAATATCTAATTTTTGTTTCTTCCAGTAGATAGTGAGCCCCAACACATAGTGGGTGCTCAAACATACGTGTTCAGTGATTGTCACTTGAGAGACCTTGGAAGGCTTTGAGGTGTGGTATTTGAAAATGTTTTCCACTTTTTCAGATGAGCCATGCACTCTATTTTATTCCTTTTTTTGAAATGTCAGAGGACTAACAGCATCATTTATTTTTAAAACTTAGTATTACATCTGGACGTCTGGAGAATGTCAGTCATTTTAAGTTCTGAACTCTACAGGTGCCTTGGGACTGGAAGCTTGTCCTCATTCCCCACCATGTCCCTGGTGCTCAGCATGGTGACAGTGAAGAGAGCACTGCAGAACTGTGACCCGTTTGCTCATGTTAATTCATTCTTTCTCTCCAGGTTAATCTGAAGCGACCATGTCCTTTCTGGGCAGAAGATGGCCATTGTTCAATAAAAGACTGTCACGTGGAGCCTTGTCCAGAGGTAACACACTTAAAACCAGAGCCATGTTCTTTTTTTTTTCCCTAATCCTCACCCAAGGATACTTTTCCACTTTTCTTCAGAGAGAGTGGGAGGGAAACAGAGAGAAGGAGACAAAGGGAGAGAGAAACATCCATGCAAGACAGACACATCGACTGGTTGCCTCCTGCACAACCCTGACCAGGGCCAGGGACGAACTGCAACTGAGATACGTGCCCTTGATTGGAATTGAACCCGCGACTCATTGATCCACGGGCTGACACTCCAACCGCTGAGCCAAACTGGCCAGGGACAGAGGCCTGCTTGTTCTTGGATGGGATCTACAGCTGGCTGACTCTTAGTTCATGCTTTCTTGGTTCTGCATCTTGTTTCATAGGCAAAGAAAATGCCACTGAACCTTAATTTTAAAATTGACAGTGGGAATTAAAGTGAATAAAGTGGGAAATTTCAGGCTTGCAATTAGGTCTCCACTTGGTCTTCTTACAATAGAAAAAAGGCTACACTTATTAGTAATGCAATGTTACATTTTCAATTTTGTTTTTTGACATCTAGCACAATTATATTCTTTTTCATTAGTAAATAGTTATTAGCTATATTTTTCTTTTCCTTTTTGCTTTTTTTATCTAACCAGTTAGTCTAGTTTGTTGTCCTTAAAAACATGAAAAAACCATCTGAACGAATATCTTTCTTAATGGGAAACATTTAAAAAATATATAATCATTTTCTTTTAAGAATATAGTGTGTTTTTTGCCCTGGCCGGTTTGGCTCAGTGGTTAGAGCATCGGCCTGCGGTCCGGAGAGACCCGGGTTTGGTTCCCGCTAAGGGCACGTACCTCGGTTGCAGTTTGTCCCCAGCCCTGGTTGGTTGTGCAGGTGGTGACCACTCGATGTGTCCCTTTCACATCGATGTTTCTCTCTCTCTGTGTTCCTCTCTCTCCCTCCCACTATACCTGAACAAAGAATGGAAAAATGTCCTTGGGTGAGGATGATAAAAAAAAAAAAGAATATAGTGTGTTTTTTAAGTTTTTAGTTTGAAATAATTTCAAACCTAGAGAAAAGTTGTAATAGTACAAACAATTCCCATATACTTTTTATTCAGATTCTCTAAATGTTAACATTTATCACATTTGCTTTATTATTCTCTCTATATATATATTTTATTAATTTTATTATATTCTGAACCACTTAGGTATAAGTTACCAATATGATCCTGTACCCCTAAATATTTCAGCATGTATTTCCTTAAAAGCAAAATCATTCTCTTACCTGACCATAACATAATTAACAAAATCAGGGAATTAGCATTAATATAATACAGTCGGCTCTCATTTGTCTCAGTCAATCAGTTGCAGACTCTACTGTGATAAATGACTGTCCGCGAAGTAGGATTCTTTTTTTTTTTTTATCCTCACTCGAGGACATTTTCCCATTTTTTGTTCAGATAGAGTGGGAGGGAGAGAGAGGAAGAGAGAGAGAGAGAGAGAAACATCGATGTGAAGGGACACATCGAGTGGCTGCCACCTGCACGACCAACCAGGGTCGGGGACAAACTGCAACCGAGGTACGTGCCCTTAGCGGGACCGAGCCAAACCGGCCAGGGCGAAGTAGGATTCTTTGTTTATAATATAGTCGTCCCTTGCCACTTCGCGGCTTCACTCTATCGCGGTTTTTTCACATATAGTATGGTATGGTATGGTATTGTATGGTGTATGGTATGGTGTATGGTGTGGTGTGGTGTATGGTATGTGTGGTGTATGGTATTTGAAAAAACCGCAATAGAGTGAAGCCGTGAAAGTCGAAGCATGAAGTGGCGAGGGACGACTGTACAGATATCCATAGATCTAATGATATATTTCCAACTGACTAACAGTGTGCTTTATATATAAAAAAAAGTTTCCAGTCCTAGAGCACATGGAGAACTTGGATGCCATGTCTCTTGAGTCTTCTTTTAATCTGGAGTAGTCCCTGAGGAGTTCTTTATCTTCCAATGTCTTGAATTTTTCCTCCCTTCCTCCCTCCATTCCTACTTGTCTCTCTTCCAGTTTCCCAGGTATTTTATAAAACACCCTTATTTTTTCTTTTTTCTGATATTTTCTAATTACTAGATTTGGGCCATGCCCTCTTGGAAGGTCTGCCATAGAAGTGATGTGTCCTTCTCAAGGTGTCCTATTAGGAGTCACATGATGTCATCTTCACCACTTGATTAAGGTGGTGTTTGCCAAATTTCTTCACTGTAAAGATGTAAAAAAAATTGAGACTGAAAATTTCCCATTTTTCATCATATATTTACCACTATAGTTTTAGTATTCACTATTCATTCTTGCCTGAAATAATTATTTATGTGATGATTGTCAAACAGTGATTTTTCTGACTCCATTTCTTTTTTTTATTAAAAAAATTTTTTTTAAACTTATCTTTATTGTTGAATATATTACAGATGTTCTTCCTTTGTCTCCTATTGATCCCCTCCTCCCCACTGCTGCCCCCCCGTTCTGCTTTTCCCAACATTGTTGTCTGTGTCCATTGGTTATGCATATATGCATATAAGTTCTTTGGTTTATTTCTTCCCACCCTCCACCCCCCTTCCCTTTGAGGTTTGTCAGTCTGACAACCAATTTGTACTTCTTAATCCCTTCACCTTTTCACCCATTCCCCCAAACCCCCTCCCATCTGGCAACCAACAAAATGTTCTCTGTATCTATGAGAATGTTTCTGTTCTGCTTGTTCATTTTGTTTGTAGATTCAATTGTCGATAGATATGTATTTATTGCCATTTTGTTTGTTCATATTTTTGATACTCGTTTTCTTCAAGAAGACCCTTCAACATTTCATATAATAATGGTTTGGTGGTGATGAACTCCTTTAGCTTTTCCTTGTCTGGGAAACTCTTCATATGGCCATTGATTCTAAATCATAGCTTTGCAGGATAGCGTAATCTTGGTTGTAGGTTCTTGCTTTTCATCATTCTGAATATTTCTTGCCACTCCCTTCTGGCCTGCAAAGTTTCTTTTGAGAAATCAGCTGACAGCCTTATGGGAACTCCCTTGTAGGTAACTAACAGCTTTTCTCTTGCTGCATTTAAGATTCTCTGTTTGTCTTGAACCCTTTGTATTTTGATGGTGATGTGTCTTGGTGTGGGCCTCTTGGGGTTCATCTTGTTTGGGACTCTCTGTGCTTCCTGGACTTGTATGTCTGTTTCCTTCACCAAGTTAGGAAAGTTTCCTGTCATTATTGTTTCAAATAGGTTTTCAATTTCTTGTTCTCTCTCTTCTCCTTCTGGCACCCCCAAGATGCGAATGTTGGCACGCTTGAAGTTGTCCCTTACACTACCCTCATTTTTTTGGATTCTTTTTTCTTTTTGCTGTTCTGATTGGGTGTTTTTTGCTTCCTTATATTCCAAATTGATGGTTTGTTTCTTGGCTTTACCTACTCCGCTATTGAATCTCTGTACATTAGTCTTTATTTGAGTTAGTGCCTCCTTCATTTCTGACTGGTCCTTTTTTATGTTCTTAAGGCCCTCACTAAGTTCATTGAGCACCTTTATAAGCAGTGTTTTGAACTCTGCCTGTGTTAGTTTGCTTATCTCCATTTCACTTAGTTCTTTTCCTAGAGTTTTGTTCTGTTCTTTCATTTGGGACCTGTTTCTTTGTCTTTTCATTTTGGCTGCCTCCCTGTGTTTGTTTATATGTATTAGGTAGAGTTGCTATGTCTCCTGGGCTTCCTAGGGTGGCCTATTGTAGTACGTGTCCTGTAGGTCCAGTGGCATAGCCTCCCTGGTCTCCCAGCTGGGCCCTCGAGGTGCACCCCTCTTGTGGACTTTACACCCTTCTGTTGTAATTGAGTCTTGATTGCTGTTGGCACATCAATGAGAGGGTTTTACTCAGGCTGATCAGCTGCAAGGACTGACTTTGCCCACTACCCACAGACCTCTGACTACCTTGGAGGATCAGCTGTGCACAGGCCCACCACACAAAGCAAGACTTACTTCAGCAAGGCTCTGGTACCCACTGAGTCCATTTCTTGAGTGTGTCACTTGTGGATGTGTTTGGGTGGTGGTGCTTCGCAGTGTTCTGAAGCTGTCCAGTGGGTGTGCTGGGTCTGGGGCCAGGTCAGCCACTGCCTGGTGTTCTACTCGGGGCCACCAGGCATAAGCTACAAAGCAGTCTGCAGATGGCTGCTTCTTGTGCTGGGCTTGGAGGTGCCCAGGAAAAGCCAAGTTGTGAACCAAGGCTGGCTGCTTCTAGTGCCAGGCCTGGGGCCACTTAACGAGAGGTATGGGGTTCACTGAGACCCGATGCTTCTTGTTTGAAAGAATTTAGGAAAATCTGAAGCAGGATCCGAGACAGGCCATTTCTTTGGTAAAGCAACTGGCGATAGCTTAGGTGGACCTGAAATTTGGATGGGGCAGGGCCTCAGGGAATCACCAGGGCGGGGCAAACAGTGTGAGCCAGGTTGCTGGAGTCCCAGATATGACTGCTGTCTGCCTGGCCTGTGGGGGAAGGGCTCACCAAAGGAACAGAGGCCTCTGACAGCACGTCTGCCCAGGAAAAAGCTGCCTCTCCAGCCTTCGCCCCAATGCCAAACAGCTCAGTTCTTCCCGTATGTCTCTGGTACCTTTCAAGCTGCCTTCCCCACATTGGAGCCTGGAGAGAGTGAGTCTGATAAGTCTGTGCATGGGCCCTTTAAGAGGAGCTGCCTGGGGCTCCAGCAGCCTCAGTTCCCGCTGGTTTTCCAGCCAGAAGTGATGGGAATTCCCTTCCTGGCACTGGAACCCTGAGCTGGGCGCCTGGTGTAGGATGGGGACCCCTCAGTCTTCAGGGAGGACCTTCCCAGCTGAGGTGTCCCTCATGATTTTTATCTGCCACACGTGGGTGTGGGACCAACTTGTCCGCCTTCGCCCCTTTTACCAGTCTCCATGTGGCTTCTTTAATTTCATAGTTATAGGACTTCCATTAAGCTCGATTTCAGGCGGATTTGAATGATGGTTGTTCTGTAGTTTAGTTGTAACTTTGATGTGGTTGTGGGAGGAGGAGAGACCATGGTTACCTACGCCGCCATCTTGACCAGAAGTCTTGACTCCATTTCTTCTACATTTATTTATTCTACTGTAAGCAAGAAATTTTTCGTCTCCCCTTTATTTTTCTAATTGTATGCTTAAGTCAGTATGAACTTCAATTATTATTTTATTTAATATATTATTAAAATTTTTTTTTTTTTTAGAGAGAGAGAAACATTGATCAGCCGATCCTTTGCACATCCCTCGACTTGGGCTCAAGCCCAAAACCCAGTCGTGTGCCCTGACTGGGAATGGAACCAGCAACCTCTCGATGCACAGGATGATGCTCAGCCAACTGAGCCGCACCATCCAGGGCTATTATTTGGTTTTTATAACAGCTTCATTGAGACATAATTTACGTAGCATAAAATTCACTCTTTCTAAAATGTACAATTCAGTGGTTTTTAGTATATTCACAGAATTGTGCTACCATCACCATTATCTAATTTATAAACATTTATACCACCCCAAAAAGAAACCCCTGCCCATTAACAGTCACTTGCCATTTCCCTGTTCCTCCTCTTGCTGGAAACCACTAATCTACTTTCTGTCTCTATGCTGATTATGAATGTTTCATGTAAATAAAATCATACAATATGTGGTTTTTTGTTACTGGCTCTTTTACTTGGCATAACATTTTCAAGGTTCAACCCATATTTTAGTATTGTTCAGAACTTCCTTCCTATTGCCAAATAATATTCCATTGTATGGATATACCTCATCTTGTTTATTCATCAGTCGATAGATATTTGGGTTGTCTCCACTTTTTGGTTACTAGGAATAATGCTACTATGAACATTCAGGTACAAGTTTTTGTGTATTCATATATTTTCAATTCTCTTAAATGGACACCTTGAAGTGGAATTAATGGATCATATTGTAACTTTATTTAACTGTTTGAGGAACTGCCAAACTGTTTCCAGTATGGCTGTACCATTTTACATTCCTGCCATCAATGTATGATGGTTCCAATTTCTGTACATACTTGTAACATTTGTTATCATCTGTCTTTTTTATATTAGCCATCCTTGTGAATGATATCTCATTTTGGTTTTGATTTACATTTCCCTGATGGCCAATAATGTTAAACATCTTTTCAAATACTTATTGTCCATTTGTATTTTTTTTTTTTTTAGAAATGTCCATTTAAACCTTTGCTCATTTTAAAATTGAGTTACCTTTTTATTGCTGAATTATAAGAGTTATTTGGCTTTATACAGTATGTATTTCTAAATTGTTTTACATTAAAATATTTATAAATTGTTTTACATTAAAGTATTTATTGTCTATCATGGATTAGCCTCCTTAGTCTTAAGTTTCTATTAGGAATAGATGAAAGTGTTTATTTGTATATGAATTCTGAACATAAGAACTATAACTCTTATATGCATTTAAAAATTCCTGTATATTCCCTTTCCAAATTCCATTCTCTTCCTCCTTTCCCCAGAAATAAAAATAAAACCTTTATATTGGTCCTTTGAGTGATGTGAGGATATTTGGATTTCTCTCTCTTTGGGGGAACATTTAGTAGGCATTTCATATTGAACTCAAACTTGTCATGAAACAGAGTTAAATTTTGCAGTCCATAATTTGAAGTCAAATCATGAGGGTCATATAATTTTGTAATTCTTAGATTGCTACATATTGTTTGTGTTAGTGGCAACAACCAGGTTTATTTATGCTTGATTTTAGTTATTAACATTATAATTACTTTTACTTCTTTTTTTGTGATTTTTATGTTATTTATGATGATCATCTGTGCTACACCCATGTTTCTAAATGGCTCAATTAAGATTTGCTGCAGGCGAGTTACTGCATTTAGCATCAAACCTTTTATTTTTATTTATTATTATTATTTTTATCCTCACTCAAGGACACCTTTCCATTTTTTGTTCAGATAGAATGGAAGGGAGAGAGAGAGAGAGAAACATCGACGTGAAAGGGACACATTGAGTGGTTGCCACCCGCATGACCCATCCAGGGTCGGAGACAAACTGCAACTGAGGTACATGCCCTCAGCGGGAACCGAACCCAGGTCTCTCTGGACTGCAGGCTGACACTCTAACCGCTGAACCAAACCAGTCAGGGCTAGCATCAAACCTGTTAAAAAGCTGCTAAGTATGTTAACATACTGTATTGTACTAGTTAGAGGACTTAAATATTTTAAGTTCAGGGTCTTACAACTTCTGTTAGATTTGACTTAAGTTTTATAGCTTTCTCCTGCCGTCTGTTAGAGGTACAAGTAGGAAACACTGATGACAAAATGCTGGCAGCAAGTAACATTTTTTTATCTATATGGTCTTTTTATTGATTAGGAAAAAGACTTACCATCACCATTATTATTTAGTTTTTCAGCCTGACAGGAAAATATCTATTCTGAATATTTATTCGGTTAAAATTATGAAACATGAAAAAATTTCAGCAATTTGTTATTAATTTGATAACCCATAGATTCAAACATCAGAAATCAGTCCCCTGTGATTATCTGCTTTCAGATATGATTTTTGTTTTAAATTATGTTCACTAAGCCAGGTATAGTAATTCATATATTTAAGTCTGAAATGAATTATTGGCTTTGTAGGAAAAAAGTTGAATCTACATGTAGTACTTATATTGGAAAGCTCAAGTTAATCAGATGGGCCAAAGAACTGATTCTTGCCATTTTCATTAATCCAAAATTGCCTAAACTTTAAATGCCAATTTAGAGCAGAAATTAAAATTGAGCATAACATATTTTAAATAATTTAAAAAAAAATTTATTTAGAGAGGAAGGGAGAGAGAGACAGAAACATCGATGAGAGAGTACATTGATTGGCCGCCTCCTGCATACCCCCCACTGGGTGTCTGGCCCACAACCCAGGCGTGTGCCCTGACCAGAAACCGAACCAGCTACCTCCTGGTACATGGGTCCACGCTCAATCACTGAGTCACACCGGCCGGGCATAATTTTGAAATTTTTAAAGCTTCTGTTTCTGTGGTAAGAAAGTTTATGGAAAAAGTGATTTAATTGTTTTACAAACCTAAAAATTATATAAACTATTAAATATTGCATTGAGAGATTAAATTAGAGCTGATTTTGATATTCTGATTTTGCGTGTCATTCAATTTTCTAACATATGATTTACAAGTCTAAATTGATATTGCATTTTACTTTTTACCTCAAAGAGGTAGTATAATTACAGAATTTGAATGAATGTGTATTTTCTCCTCATAGAATAAAATATCTTTTGTATTAGAGCAATAGCATTACTAATTTGTGAAGAAATCTCAAAAAAATGAAGATTGCTTTAAAAATTTTTTGTTGTTCTTTTAAGAGTAAAATTCCAGTCGGAATTAAAGCTGGGAGTTCAAATAAGGTGAGTTGCTCTTTTTGTGTGGGTTAATTCTCACTGGAGGATGTTTTCCCATTGGTATATAGAGAGAGTGGAAGGGAGGGGGGTAGGGGGAGAGAGCGAGAGGAGAGAGAGAAACATCAATGTGAGAGAGACACTTCAATTGGTTGCCTCCCACATGCACCCCGACCAGGGTGGGGATCTTACAGGTATGTGCCCTTGAACCCAAGACCACTGAGCCATACCAGCCAGGGCTGAATTGCTTTTCCTTATCCAATATTTCTGCTTTACGTGGTGAAACTTACCATTTACTGCTTGTCAGGGGTTGCAGAAAAGAGCAATATGGTTGGTTGGGAATGGATACTTTTTGCCTTAAACTCCCTAATTTCTAATTCTTGCAGCAGAGAGGTTGTGTATTCTTACAACTAAAATGATTGAGTTCTGTTTTTGGAAGCTCTGGAAGAAGTACAAAGTGCTACTATAGTGTGGGATGGCCTCCTCAACAGGTGTTTTCATCGTGCCTGTAGCTGGAGTCTCCTGTTTCATCTGGTCAGCCTGTCATACTCAGTATTATGTTGTACAGAGTAAACAAGTATCAAGATATTTTGAGCTTAGTACTTTTAAAGGGAATTCAAATATTTCTTTATTAAAGATTAACTTTTCCTCTTTTGAGCATGCTGTAATCTACTGTGTCATTCACATGGGTTTAGATAACAGTACATTAGTAGTTTTTCACTGTTGCACATACATGAAGGTCCTTGCACCCTCCCTCTCTGCTTCCTGATGATGCATCATTTCTGTTTTCTTCTGGCGTGCTCTCCCTTGTGCAGTCTTTTGTTCATTTTCACTCTCCTTACTTTATTTTTGTATCAGATCTCAAGTAAACAAATAAACAGTATAAAGATAGTTGAAATCCCTTCTGGACTCCTTCCCAACCCCCTTCTGTGTCCTCCCTCCCCAAAGCCAGATACTTTCTGAAGTAGATGTGTACCCTTCTGTGATACTTTTTATTTTTATACTTGAGTATACATGTGTCCACAGTATATATAAATCTTTTCTATGAAATTTAAAAATTTTTAAATACTATATTTTTGTATTTCTTCAGGTTAAAAATATTTTTTCAGTCTGTTTTTACTGAATATTATGCTTTTGAAATTTTGTCTCTTGATATATGTTGATTTAGTTCATTTTAATAGCTGCATGATATATTCAGTTGTATGACTATATCATGACCTGTATTGACAGACATTTCAGTTGTCTTTGGTTTTGTTTTTGTTGTTACAGACAGTGATGCACTAGCATCTTTGTCTTTTGTCACATTGTGCACACATGTAAGTTTCTCTGGGTCTAGAAGTAGAACTAAGATTGCTGGGCCATGGGGTATGCTATCTCAGCATCACAAGATAGTACTAGATAACTTTTGAGAGTGGTTGTACATTGTTTCTGCTTTTAAATGTTGCTCTGGATTTGGTTTCCATAGTAGGACTGCTGGTTCATGGGTTTATGCAATGTTTAAAATTTATTTTTGTTAATCCTCACCTGAGGATATTTCTTCCATTGATTTTTTTTTGGCAGAGTGGAAGAGAGGGTTGAAGTGGGGGAAAGAGAGAGACATTGATTGGTTGCTTCCTGCATGAACCCTTACTGGGGTTGGGATCGAACCTGTGACCCAAATATGTGCCCTTTTTTTTTTTTTTTTTTTTGTGGTACGTGTCCCTAATGGGAACCGAACCCCGGACTCTCTGGTCCGCAGGCCAACGCTCCAACTTCGGTGCATGGGCCAGTTCTCTAACCACTGAGCAACACCAGCCAGGGCAAGGGTTTATGCATTTTTACAGCTTTTTTTTTTTTTTTTTTTTAATCCTCGCTCGAGGACATTTTTCCATTTTTTGTTCAGGTAGAGTGGGAGGGAGAGAGACAGAGACAGAGACAGAGACGTGAAAGGGACACATCAAGTGGATGCCTCCTGCATGACCCCAACCAGGGCCAGGGCTGAATCGCAGCTGAGGTATGTGCCCTTGGCTGGAATCAAACCTGCAGCTCATTGGTCCGTGGGCCAAAGCTCTAACTGCTGAGCCAAACTGGCCAGGGCCATTTTTGCAGCTCTTGATAAATGTTGTCAAACATGAGAGGATTTTCTCTGTTTACATCATCACCAACTTGCTGATTATGTTTTTAATGTCTTTGCTAATTAGGTAGAAATTTGTGACTCATTTTCATTTGTATTTCTTACATATTTCAATAATAGGATTTATCTGTATTTAGTGTGTGTCATCGACAGATTGACTGTTCTGCCAGTTGTGCCTGAAATAAAGAGGAAGGTACTGATTATTACTAAAACTTGTTTGTTATGAACTTCCTTATAGTACTTGAAAGTGGCAAACAATACCAAAGAATTTGAAGATTGTGAACAAGCTAATAAACTGGGAGCAATTAACAGCACACTAAGGTAAGTTTTGTTTTAGTAGCATTAAAAAATATTCTGTTGCTTATATCAGAAATTTTCTGTTTTTCTTGTGATTTTAAAACATTAAATTTTCAGCTAATTTTTTAAAGGAAGAAGTTACTCTTTATCCTAAATTCCAAGATAGCTTTACTTCCTCTTCTTGGCCAATTTGTTCTTAAATTTCTAAATCATCAATAGTGCCTCTATTAAAAAGTAAAAATTTAGAAGATTGCTCAGCAAGCAGAGTTTATGGATCTGTTCTTTCTGATTATTATGGGAAAAGGAACTTGAACCTCTAAGTCTTTTTAAAATAGTAATTCAATTTATCTTTTACATTTTGAATGATAAAAGTTACTGTTAACATAACCATTAAATTTCATAAATTTTTTTTCCTGGTGAGTTTTCCTTTTTTGCTCTAAGTACAAACCTGCTTTTGAGGGCTAACATAAATAATTTGTAAGTCTCAGATTACACATATAAAATGACTGAACAGCCCTGGCCGGTTTGGTTCAGAGGTTAGAGCGTCGGCCTGCGGTCCAGAGAAACCCGGGTTCGGTTCCCACTAAGGGCACGTACCTCGGTTGCAGTTTGTCCCCGGCCCTGGTTGGGTTGTGTGGGTGGCAACCAGTCGATGTGTCTCCCTCACATCGATGTTTCTCTCTCTCTCTCCTCCTCCCACTCTATCTGAACAAACAAAAAAAACAAATGACTGAACATAGGTGGTGAGTGGGGAATGGAATATTACAGAAATTCTTTTTAATTTTCCCGTTTGTTTAGATTTATGTTGATGTACTATAATTGTTATAGACTTAGTAAAGTTAGCAATTTTATTTATCTTATTTTTTGAAGAAAATATTTAATATAGAAAAGTAGAAAGGATAATATAATAAATAGCCATATAATCTCCACTCCAAATTGAGTAAATATTAACATTTCTACCTCTTGCAACTGTTTTTAAGAAAAGAGAAATATCAAAGATATTAAAATCCCCCATGTTCTAGTCCTCAATCCTGTTTTCGTTCCTTCTTTCTTAGAGGTAACTACTGTCATGAATTTGGTGTATATCCAGTCAGTTTTTATTTTTATTACATATATGTATATAGTTTTGTGCATATGGTTTTATTTTTTCTTTATGTAAATGATATAATACTGTACTTAAAATTTGCAACTTTCTTTTTACACCACACATTTTGCTTTCTAGATCGATTCAGGTTAAAACAGAGAGATTTGTCTCATTCTTTTAACTCATGAACAGTTTTCATGATATAAATATACTATATTTTATTTATTTATTCTGCTACTAATAGATATTTAGGTTGTTTCAAATTTTTTACTTCTACAAAAACTGTGCTACCTTGAGCTTCCTTGTTAATTTTTTTTTCTGATGCACACCAAAAGTTAATGTCAATGGAAGTTAATATTAACATCTGTGTTTTTCATATAACTTGTTTTCATCATTCCCTCATGTAACCACTAACTGAATTTGTGAACTAATTAATAAAGAAGTGACCTCAGGTTATCTATTTTTAATTAAACTAGAATACAGTGTTAAAATTTTTAACTCCAAATTTAATCATTTTCTTTTTTATTCCTCCTCCCGTAGTAATCAAAGCAAAGAGGCTTTCATTGACTGGGCAAGATATGATGACTCACAGGATCACTTCTGTGAACTTGATGGTAATAAGATAAACTACTGTAATCAGATTATTTTTACTTTAACCTTTTTGTATGATATGGAAATCTATTAAAATATCAACAGTCATAGCTCAAATGCACTGCATGTTGCTATGTGGATCTGTCATTCATGATTAAGTTTATTGAAGCCTGTGTTCCAAGCCTGTGCTAAATGCCTTAAGTGCATTACTTCTCTTCTTTACAACTGCCTTAAGAAGTGTGTGTCATCTCATGTCTGAGGAAACAGTCTCAGAAAGACTAAGTAACTTGCCCAGGATCACATGGGAGCAAGAACTGAGATAGGATTTTACCCCAGATCCGACTGAGTCCAAAGCCTGTATTCTTTCCATTATGAAGTCTCCTATGGACTTCCAACTCAGGCCACTTAGTTACAGGTTTTGTGAACATATTATAAAAATGTTCACACTGGAATTTGCTGGAGGTCTCAACAAACCTTCCAATATTAGGAAAGACTCTAATTTACTTACCGGAAGCCCTCTTCCCAGGAATCCCCTGGGAAGGTACTAAGACAGGGCGCTGCTCCACAGGAGCTACCTTGCCTCTTAACAGAAGGTGATGGAGGTGACTCAGAATTTGTAATCTATAGGAGACTATTCCCAAGAATTGTGTGCAGTAAGCTTAGGTCACTCCTTAGGCCTCTCTCCTTACCTTTTACCTTAGTATTGTTATATTTTCAGTGGTGGGAAAGTTTGGGGTTCAAGCATACATAGTTGGTACAGACAGCAGACACTCTTCTGAACTCGTAAAGCATCTAGAGTGATCATACTGCTTTCTGAGGGTTTTTAAAGACTCACATGTAAAATTGTGCTTTTAACCCAGGCTAAAAGTAGTGGAGCAGTTTACAGTGAGCTTCTGTGGTGGTCTGGTACATCGAGGAGATACTGAGCGATGCAGTGTTAGTGCCGTGGTTCATAGTGTTTCAGCAGGGACATTTTAAAGAAATCTGAGCAAAGTTTCTTTGGTTTATCTGGATATACTAATGGCAATTAACAAAATACCCCTATAATAATATACAGAATTGGCAAAAGGTTCATTGAAGCAATCCACTGAACCTAGGTTAAATACACACATCACTGCTTACTCTCATTTGCCCTTTGGTTGGCATTCTAATTATATTTTCGTGTTTAGCACTTATAGTCACTAATGTCCACCTTCTCATTCTACTTATTTGACCAACATAAAAATTTTTCACTAGTGCTTATTTAACAGGTTTTCAGATAAAAAAAATCATTACTTATAGTAAATAATATGAATATATGTTTCTCTTATAGGTAGTTAATAAAAAATACTACTCAGAGATCACTTGCTATGATTAAGTGATGTGCTCATTACCTGTCATCAATATAAATAGTGTTAACTAATTTTTTAACATTAGCTTCTTATATAATAGTAACTTTTATATTTTATGTAGTTCTTAAACATAAAACTATACTACTAGTTGGATTACCACTATTCTGAGTAGTGATGTTCATGTGCGTCCCGATGGCTTATACCTATGATTTAAAAAAACACTGTCAGAGTAGTTTAGAGCTGTTGTTTAGTTATTTCACTTATCTAAAATCGTTGAATTAAAACAAATTCTAAAGAATTCACCCCAGTTTTTTGGAACATATCCATACAGCCCTGATCTCTGCATATTGTTCTGTAGTTATATGAAAGGAGGATGATCCCTGTAGATCAAATAGGAGGTTTTTTAATAATTTAGCAGTTTAAGGTAAGCTGTCTCTGCCCCTCTCTATTGTGTGTGTGTGTGTGTGTGTGTGTGTAATTGTCTTTATGCATGACTTGCTTCTTCCTTTGCTTCAGGTTTCTGCTCAAATGCCACCTCATCAAAACCTGCTGTCACCCCTTGTAAAAAATAAGTAACCACTGTCGCGCTCTCTTTGCAGTGTGGCTTGCTAACCCAGAGAACTGCCTGGGAGCGCCTGGCATGTTACCTAGTTGACCTGTTCATGTCTCTCTGCTCCATCCAGATTGTGTACCCTCGGGGCAAGCGCCTAGCCTTCTGGTTCACTGCTGTATCCCCAGTGCCTAGGACAGTGGCTGGACATGGTCCATGTGCAATAAATATTTGCTGAGTGAAGTAGTTGGCTTGTAAATAACCTACATAGTGTGATAGATTTTTTTTTACATTTATATTTTCCCTTAAAACATGTTCATTAATAAATGAACAACACTGTAGTTTTTATATCAGGCTGTGCATCAAAACTATGTGGGCGCTTCATAAACCATAGGCTGTCCTGAGTAAGTCATGCTTCAGCAGGGATAAAGTTGGTGATGGGGGGCTGTAGGCTCAATCCTGAGTCTGTATCTCAGTATTTCTGATCTGGGCCCATAGCAAAAAGCCTGTACACTACACTGGCATATGCTACCATTGTTTTAAGAGATCTTGAGTTAGGAGGCAGGAAGGAGTGTGCAGCATCCTGGACAATGCAGTGTAGCCTCATAACTCTGATAGTAAATTAGGACAATGACAAGAAAATTCAGTTGGGGAAAAGTATACTGGAGAGGGAAAAACATGGTTCAAGTTGACAAATTCTCAGAATTCTGTATTTTATTACAGTGGAAATTCTTTGAATATTTGGGTAATGGTTTTTAACATGATCAGCTAAAACAGCTTTGTCAAAGAAGACACAGTAGGGATCCAAAGAGAACTAACTGAATGATTGATACAGCTGTAATAATGGAAAGAAGTTAGAAAGTTTAGTTCGGTCATGCTGAGGGTGGCCCAGGGTAAGGATGGGCACCAGCCCTGGTGTGTTTATAGGGGCTTTGTCAGTATAGATCAGGGGCAGACAAACTGTCTTTCTATGGGTGGACAGATAGTCAATATTTTCGGCTTTGTAGACCATAGGTCTCTGTTTTCAACTCTGCCATAGTACGGTGGAAGCAGCACGGAAGCAAATGACATGACTTATTCTCATAAAACTTCCTCTGTGGAAATACTCAGCAGCCAGACTTGGTCCACAAGTTAGCAAAACCCACCTATGTCATGATTTGAAAAAGTATTACAAGTTTTAAACAACTTTTGATTGAATTAAGGGAATACATGTTAAGAACGTTGAGAAAGTAAGTTTTACTTAAGATAATTAAAAATTGATATAATTGATTTTCTGCTCCTTTAAAGTATATTTTAGATCCTTATACTTTAATATCGGAATCTGTAGTTTTTCTCTTTTGGTTGTTTTTGTTGGGCAAGAAGGTTGATACTAGTCCAGTCTGTACATTCATAGATGTCCCTACATGTGTGTGGGCTTATGCTCACCCACACACATTCTTCATACATGTGTACATACATACTTATATCAGTAAATATGTATGTTTAATAATATTTGTAAAACATACATAATTGGATTAGTTTTGCAAATGAATTTGCTCAAGAACAGCTCAAAGAAATTAAAAATATATAACAAAAGCTAGTGAATTGGTAAACTTTTGTTGGAATTTTACTATATATAAAAGCCATATTTTTATTAACTTCATAATTTGAATCTTTGTTTTTAAATTAAGATTTTTAAAAATTATATTTAGGTTTTAAGTCTTGAATTAAGTTATGAACCTTGAGCAGTTTCTGTTGGTACATCTGTAAATTAACTGTTTTGGGTGCTTTGTAGAATGGGATATCTGTATACTGTTAGGGTTAGAAATAGAGCCACTATTCTCCAAAATCAGGTTTCCATTGCCTTTAAGTTTGATAAAACTCACTTAGTAATGATAACTTGTAATTATCTCTGTACTCTTCCTGTATCATGAAAGTGCCAGGTAGTTCTTGGAAGGCATGGGTCAGGTGCCGTTTGCCCCTTATGATTATGGGTAATCTCAGTCTCTGGTCATTGAGTGGCCAATGAATGCTGGCTGACAGGAAAGTATACTATCAGGTAATGAAAAGAAAAGGGACCATATTTGGCCACTATTTTAAGTCAGGTGTCTACATACTATTGATTTAATGTTATGACACCAAAAGATGGGAAGCATATAAATAAAGGAATACATCAGTGCCAACATATATAGCACTTCAGCTTGTATGTATTATGGTCATACATCTGTGAGCATAATCATTATAATTTTTCTACAGGTGTGAAAGCATGTGTTTCCCTTCCTACCAGAATGTGAGCCTCAATAATAAAGACCATTTTTCGTTATCTTTTGTGGCCCCCGGCGATCTCTATTAAAATGTCCAGCCTTGACCCGTTTGGCTGAACAGTTAAGAGTGCCGACCCAAAGACTTTGATTCCCAGTCAAGAGCATGTACCTGGGTAACAGATTCAATCCCTGCCCCGTTTGGGCATGTGTTGGAGGCAACCAATTGATGTATTTCTCTCACATCAATGTTTCTCCGCCCCCCCTCTTCTACTCTATCTAAAAGTCAGTGGAAAAATATCCTTGGGTAAGGATTAAAAAAAAAAAAAGAAATATCCAAATAGTGGAGATCTAGTAAATTCTCATTTAGGTTTAACATAAAAAATGTTTATTTAATTTTAAATGTCTTAACAAGTTCCTGAAATTGTGCCTGCTGTATTGGTTTGAGAGGGGGAAAAGCACTTCAATATATAAACACTGGTAAAAAATAAATTAGTGACGTTTTTAAAAAATTAGACCATCGTGTAAGTCTAGGAATGGTCAAATTTGAATCACAAAATTATTGAGCCATCTACTTCAGAAGTCAAAAGTAGAGAGCAGCAGGATCTCTATTTTTATATAATATATGCTAACAAAATAAATATTTCCAAGTATGTGTTTAGATAGGTATATACTTAGAGAAGAAATTGAATAAAATATTCAAACAAATGAAGATTCTGCTAGGTCTTTTCAATCTTCATGGTTAAACTAATGACACAGTGAATGCCTCCCAACAAGGTGAGGAACCTGCATGACTTCAGAGGAAAGGAAGGAGTTGTTTTCCCTCTTTCAAGGGCAGGTTACTACAAATCCAAGGTCAAGTACAGTCACAAATGTCCTCACCACTCTGCGGGTTCAGTTGGAGATTACTTGAAAACTGTAGCATTTCTATAGTCTTCTGGTAGTCCTGTTTGCTTTGTGATGCTATATTTGAGATATATTGTTAAATAGGGATGGTTTATGAATTTTTTCTTATTTAGATGAGAGGTCTCCAGCTGCCCAGTATGTAGACCTGTTGCTGAACCCAGAGCGTTATACTGGCTACAAAGGGCCATCTGCATGGAGAGTGTGGAACAGCATCTATGAAGAAAACTGTTTCAAGTAACTAGAGGGGAAGGGGAGGGATGTCTGGGCAGAAGGAAGGGGGAGGAAGGAGAGAGTCTGTTGGAACAAATTACATAACAAAAAAATCACTTTATGTTTGGGTTTTGTGTGGTTTTTCTTTTTTTCAGGCCTCGCTCTGTTTATCGTCCTTTAAATCCTCTGGCACCGAGCCGAGGTGGGTTTTTAAATCAATTTTCATACTTTTAGAGATTGTTTATGAAATGTCTTTATAACTAAACTTAATTTGAGAAAGTTTTCAACTGTTTTATATTTTGGTTAATTTGAATGATCAAAAAGTAGATTAGCCCTGGCCAGTTTGCTCAGTGGTTAGAGCGTCAGCCTGCGGTCCCGAGAGACCCAGGTTCGGTTCCCGCTAAGGGCGTGTACTTTGGTTGCAGTTGTCCCCGGCCCTGGTTGGTCGTGTGGGTGGCAGCCACTCGATGTGTCCCTTTCATGTCGATGTTTCTCTCTTTCTCTGTTCCTCTCTCTCCCTCCCACTCTACCTGAGCAAAAAATGGAAAAATGTCCTCGAGTGAGGATAAAAAAAAAAAAAAAAAGTAGATTAAATGCTCATTGTTAAGTCTTAAGATTTCTACATGTTTTTTTGAGCACCTGGTATATACCAAGCCCTAACCTAGGAGCTTTATAAAATTAGTTAGAATATATGAGTAATACATATTATATATACATATACGTATACATACATACATACATACATACATATATATACACATAATGGCAGTTTCCTGGGGAGCTCTTTAAAACCCAGAAGCCCAGGCCCCATCCCATGCCAATTAAGTTTGAATGTCTGGGATTATTAGACCCAGGTGTTGGTATTGTTTTACTTTCCAGATGACTCCAGTATGCAGCCAAGTTTGAGAACCAATGGCTGAATGTGTGCTTCTCAAACTTTGTGTGCGTACAAATCACTGAGGAGCCTTGTTAAAATACAGGTTCTGATTCTGTAGGTCTTGGGTAAGGCCCAGGATTGTCATAAGCTCCCAGGTGATGTCCATGGTGCTGACCCAGGCACCACACTTTGAGTCATAGGGTGTAGGGCAGTTTCGGGAAGTTGGGTCGCCTGCAGCGCCACTCTGAACCTACACTGTCCCAGAAGGTAGCCACTTGCCACATTGGGTTACTGAGCACGTGAAATGTAGCTAGCACAAAACTAAATTTTACTTTTTATTTAAATGTAGTTTGTTTAAACTTAAAAACTGAAGCAGTGTGAAATATTTGTGCCATTAAACAGAACTTTATTGTTTTGGTAAGACGGCGTAAACTCTTGTTGTATTGTAGTGCGTGCATACCATCTGCTTTTTAAAATGTGGACATTAGAAAGTATTTCATTAGAAATTTTTACTGGAAAATATTTTAAACTACATATGTACACTGTATTTCTGTGGGACAGCATTGCTGTATATAGTGGGAAGTTGCTTAGTGTAAAACTTGGGGTACATCCTTAATCCTTTCAAAGAGGAGCCAGTCCCTGGGAGCAACTGTGTAATTGATTTGCCACTCCATTCTTTTCTTCAGACCGGGATTGATTTAAGAACTTGAATTTCCTGGTCTAAGTTTATATCTTTATGTATTTCTGAGAACCAAAGAGACTTAGAAAGGTTGAATGGTGGACTGCTCTATAATAGTAGCAAATGTTCCCCAAATTCATTCTCATGCTGCCTGGAGAAGGGCACTGGATTGTGGAAAAGGCACACATGGCTTCTTACCCTTTGTCTCTTCTCATAATGTCTCTATTTCCAACTTAAATATTTTTATTACACAAGATTTTATGAAAATTACAACAATATATAATGCTCCCCTACCCCTACCTGCCTCCACCCTGTTTCACAGGACAGTTTGGAAGGTGTTCTTCCAGGCCTTTCATGTGATTGCTTGCTTTTGTTTTTAAGGATTGGAATTTTAAAAAGTTTTTAAATTGAAATGTAATTGATGTATAACTATATTAGTTTCACGTGTACAACATAATGATTTGCTACTTGTATCTATTGTGAAATGATCATAGTAAGTCTAGTTAGCATCCATTACCTCGTGGTTACAAATTTGTTTTTCTTGTGATGAGAACTTTTAAGATCTACTCTCTTAGCAACTTTCAGTCTATAATACAGTATTATTAACTATAGTCACCATGTAGTATATTGCATCCCCAGGACTGATTTTATTTTATAACTAAACTGTGCCTTTTGACCCCCTTCAGCCATTTCTCTCCCTGCCTGCCTAGCCTCTGTTGGCTACCCATCTGTTCTCTGTATCTCAGAGTTTGGTGTTTTGGCTTGCTTTTGTTTCTAGATTCCACATATAACTGAGACCATAGTGTACTTATCTTTCTCTGTCTGACATTTCACTTGGCATAATGCTCTCAAAGTTCATCCATGTTGTCCCAAATAGCAAGATTTCATTCTTTTTTGATGGCTGAATAATATGATCACTTACTTTTAAAGCAGAATATATAATTGTTTATTTAATAAAACCATCAAGTCCTAAGAAATACTTCACTTTCATATTATGATAAATCAGAGTCATGAGACTGCTGGAGAGATGAGGAGGGAAGGAGTGTCTTTTTCTATAGAAAAAGACAGGAAGGAAAGAGGAGAAAAGAAGGAAAAAGAAATATGAAAGAGGAAGACAGAGACTAGGTAAGGGAGCAGGTGCGCTCCATGAAGTAATGAGATCGCTCTTGCTGGGCTGTTTGTTGCTGTCTCCATTGAAAGTGTAACGCTGACTGGCAGCTCCAATACTGTGAACTGTTCCTTCCACACGGTTCCTGAGCCACGACACTGGCTTTTACAGCTAGCTCTCCAACAGCTCTTGAACAACAGAACTTTTTACAAAAGTGAAATGCAGTGAGAGTTTCACTAATTACAGCTCAGGAAGTATTTTTATATGTATATGCCGAGCAGCAGTAAGTAATTTAAGACAAAAGTATTCCAGCATGAAAACAATAGTGTTCAGAAAGGGTCCTGTACATGATCAAAGCAGTGACTTGTACATTTGTTAGTTAATTGTTGAAACTAGTGGTCTTTATGACTATTTTTAGTTGCTTTCTAATATTGTTTATTATATAAAACATGAAAATCTTCTACTTTTTGGCCTATATTCTTAATAAAATTCTCATTTGCAGGATAATTACACAATGACCACAGTTCATGGTATAATTAATACTTTAACATACAGTAAGGTATAATCCCGTATTAAAATTGATAGTATTAGAATCTGAACTGTGTAATACATTTTCTAAAATCTTGTCTATTATTTTTTCTTTCAGGAGAAGATGATGGTGAGTTAAACTCTTGTGTTTTTGTCTCAAGTAGAGGAAATGTTTTTAATGATCAAAATTTGGTTTTTCCTTTATATCAAAAGAAAATATTTTTTCAGAAAATAGCTACCAATGGATGGTAACAAAAAAAAAATGAGTATTTTAAAATAATACAAACTTATCCTATGTTAAAAAAAGTATAAAGATAATTTTCCCTAAATGTTTAGTAGAGCAACTACGATCACATTCCAACTTCTCCATTTTATAGTTATTATAATATACTTGAATATATTCTGAAGAAACAAGTTAGGATAGTTTGACCAGATAATGTGTCTTGTGACTTATGTATTTTCTTATTGACTTTGAAATTTACAACCTCATTTACCATTGTAGTACTTAATCTGATGAGTAATTCTGATTTATCAGCTGTGGGTTACTCCAGGCTACTGAATGACTATTGATCATAAGATGCCCTCAAACTGCCAAAATACTTATTTCAAATGAATAATAATTTTAAATCTCCGTTCAAAGGCACTATGATGTGCAGGATAGAAAGATGTATACATGTGATACCTTCCCTCTAGGAGTAGACAGTATATAGCAGGAAGGATAAGCTCTATACATATGATAAAGAAATACTACACATGCATAGTACAAACAGTTGGTGATACACTCTTTAGAGTTGGAGAAATTGTATCCCACTGGAGTGATCTGGGAAAGTTTAAGCCTATAGAATTGGATAGTATGTGCTATTTGGAGGGAATAGCATGGACCAAGGAGTTGAGAAAGGAATAATCAAGTTTGTTTGGGGAGACCCTGTGAGTAGTAGGAAGACTTTATATAGGGGTAAATTAGGAAGATGCATAGAGGCCCGATTATTGAGAACCTTGTAGACTTCCCTGTTAGCAGTTGGGGTTTTTTTAATGAAAAGAGGAGATGATGATGAATGATCCTTAGTAAGAAGATGTAGATGAATGAATCTATAGGAAGATGTTGGAGTTTTGTAAAGTGTGTAGACTCTCAGGAGGGACAATAATTTTCCACCATCTAATTTATCTCCTAGATTCCTGCTCAGCTAATCTGTGTTGAGTTTTTTTTTTCTTTATTAAAAATAAATAAATAAATAAGGATAGGTAACTTCGGAAGTGTATTATTAACTCAGTCTTTATTGACTGCCATTTTGTTTTTCAGTGAACAACAGTGCTGGTCTAGAAATAGTTCTTTCAGCATTAGTATTCAGATAAACAGGCACTCTGTGTTTTAGTCATTAGCCTTTCTGAAGAACATCTTGAAAATTAAAGGGTTTAAAAATATCCCTTGAAATTTAGTAATCTTAGATAATTGAGCAAATATGCCTAACCTTACTGAATCAGGAGGAATAGAATAATAAATAGATTTTCCTATTAATTATAGTTTACTGTTTTTTTCTAGAATTTAAAAAGAGTGCTATAGTTATCATCAAAAGCAAATTTAAGATCGTTAAGGTCTTCCCCCATACCTATGGATGTTTAAGCCTTCTAGTGAATAAGATTTATATAACATTTTGACTGAAATGTTTTCTCAAAAACTGTACCAGTCAAAATATCATTTATAAGAACATTCTCCCAATACTTAAATTATTTTTTGAGGCTTTTTTTTCTAGACCCATGTGCCTATTTTTCTACTTCACATGGAACAGTAGGCATTTCTAGACATATTCCTTAATATGTCATAAAATATTTTATAGACTTAATTTATTCTAATACATAAATGAGTATTTAAAATATTTAAACCTAGTTCTGTTTATGTGTGTGTGTGTTTTTTGTTTTTTTTTAAGGAGAATCATTCTACACATGGCTAGAAGGTAAGCTGTCTGCATTTTATTTTATTTTTATTCATTATATTTTTATCCTCACCCGAGGACATTTTTTGCATTTATTTTCAGTTAGAGTGGGAGTAGAAGAGAGAGGAAGAGAGAGAGAAACATCGATGTGAGAGAGACACATCGACTGGCTGCCACCCACACGACCCCAACCTGGGCTAGGGACAAACTGCAACCGAGATACATGCCTTTAGTGGAAACCAAACCCGGGACTCTCTGGCCTGTGGGCTAACACTCTAACCACTGAGCCAAAGTGGCCAGGGCAGCTGTCTGCATTTTAAATTTATAGGGTCTTGTAAGAAATGTATTAATTTATTTAATATATTTTAGTAAGTTTTAGGATTCATTGCCCAGGCAACTAATTTTGACAGTGTTTGAAAGAAAACATATTTTAGGTTATTATGTTTTGGGATGCAATTATTTAAAAATTTTGAGACCCAAACCCAGCATTATAGAACTATACAGGGCAGATATTGTCTCCAGGTTCCCTCTTCCAGCCTCTGCCTATGGTGCCCTTCCAGACCACGGTTCTGAAGGCCGTTGGACAGACCCCTGGTTTACAGCAGAGGTGTTCATTTTGGAAGGAAGTGCCTTTTTATATATGAAGTTGAGGGAAGATAAATGTGAAATCAGAAGGTTTTAGACATGTTTACACCCGTCAGTATAGTCTAAACTTGTCTAGTTAAAGGATAAAGCAGTATAGATCCCAATATACTAGATACTTTTGCATTCTTATATTTTCTAATATTGAAAATACTAGAAATATAAAATGTTATTAATGGAAAACTAAAACATTCTAGGATTGTAACACCTGGATATATTATACTTTTAAAAATTTTACCAAATTGCCATTAATTTATGAAACCAAAAGTTAAAATATATTAATGAAAGATAAGCAATTTGAATGATATGGAAAACTGATATTTCATAGCCATAACGTGATAGGAACCCTACAGAGTTAAACTAAGTAGTTAATTCTATTTTATCTTTATCTTTAATGAACTATGTACATATATTGTCTATTGTTAAGGTGACCGTTATTAATGTGCAAATACTCTAGGAATTAAATTGATAAATGGCCTGTGTGGAAGAAGATGTTTAGCTCTGTTTAATTAGTTTTTGTCTAAAGATACAGATTGTGAAAAGTAATTTTTAGGTTACAAGAGGTGGTCAGAGATTCTGAATATTGATAATGGAGGATGAGAATGACATTTATGGGCAATATGGGATTCTAGGGTATACTATATCAACCACTCTTGTAGGATCCATCTGGTGGGAATTTCTGAGTGTTGATACGTGGTTGCAGAGAGCACTCCTATTTAAAGACAACTGACACACATTTTCTGAGATTCAGTTTCCTCATCTGGGGCACGAAAGTGGCAGTAGCCCTCTAACCATGAGCATAGATCATGCCTGTGAAACGTCCTTTAAAAACCACTGAGCAATGTCCACATGCCAATAACACAGCAAATCTCGCCCTTTTTTGAAAGGAAATTATATTAGTGTCCTGTAATCAATCCAATTACTGAAAATGAATATGAATGAAATTAAAACCAAAAAAAAGGAAAACCATTTTCGAAATAGGGTAGTGAATGTGCTCTGTATTGTTAGTAGAAGTTGGTGAAATTTGTCTTTTTACTTAAGCATGTGTCTCTGAAGGCATCTGCTCAGGTCTTAGCAGACTGCTAGCAGGAGAGCTCTCCAGAGTTGCCTAAGTGTGTGGTGTGTGTCTTGCTGGTGTATCTTTTACATTTACCATTTTGCTTGAAGTTACCTGATTATCACGTTTAAGGAAGTATACTTCTACTATTCCCTCCTCACTTAACCCCCACCCCCACTCGGTAAGAGCCTTTGTGGGCTTTGCAAATTAGAATTGCCTCGTAGGTTTTCAGTCTCATTTTTGGGCCCACACATCTTCACAAACTTGGCTTTGCCTGTTCTCCCTTCTCTAGTCTTCAGACATTTTCCTGGATGTTAGCACTGCTTACAGAGCTGGGTGAGAAGGAAAAGAAAGTGAACTTCAAATCTGTTCATTTTGCTTCCTGATAATAGACTCAATTACAAGTCTTACTAGAGGAGAAACTAGTACCTAATATTTTGTCATATTAGTTCAGATAGTATCCCTTGTTATCATAAACATTCCAAATTGGCCATATACTTTTAGCTGGGAGCTACAAAATAAAAATTTTTAAATATATTTTTATTGATTTTTTTTGTTTTTTTAGAGCGGGAGAGAAATATTAGCTGCCTTCTGCATGCCCCCTACTGGGGATGGAGCCCGAAACCCAGGCCCTGGCCAGGAATCAGACCAGTGACCTCTTGGTGCATGGGATGAAGCTCAATCAGCTGAGCCACACTAGTCAGGGCTAAAAAATAGAATATAATTTCTACATTTGGTCTCCATCCATGACAGTGGGAATATTCTAGCAAAAATTCTGAATGAAGGAATGAGATCTCAAAAGAATTATTTTTTCCTATTAGAAGCTACTTCCTTCAGGGCCATCTATGGTAGAACATGGAGTGAATTGAAGACCTAAAAGATCTTGAAAAGATGCAGAGTAAGCCACCCACATACTCTGACATTTTAAAAATCCCTCTGCACAGAAATGTGGTTACTGCTTAGTTTCCACTGTGAAGCTGATTTAGTTATTTCATATTATTCCTTGATTTATTCATAATGTCCTTGAATCTTTACATTAAAAATAAGCTTGTGTACTGAATCTTCTGTATTTCTGTTTTCTAAATTGATGTGATATATTTTTCTGAATAGGTTTATGTCTGGAGAAAAGAGTCTTCTATAAGCTTATATCGGGACTTCATGCTAGTATCAATTTACATCTATGTGCAAATTATCTTTTGGAAGGTAATCAGGTTTTTATGTAGAAGTTTGCCTTTTATTCGTGTAAAAATTGTTGGGGGGAAATACATATTCTCTATTTTAAAATCTTATCTATTATGTATATCATGTATTTCTCTTTCTCTTTAGAAACCTGGGGTAAACCTAGCTGGGGACCTAATATAAAAGAATTTAAACGCCGCTTTGACCCTGTGGAAACCAAGGGAGAAGGTCCAAGGAGGTTAAAGAATCTGTACTTCTTATACTTAATTGAGCTGCGAGCTTTATCAAAGGTGGCCCCATATTTTGAGCGCTCAATTGTCGATCTTTACACTGGAAATGGGGAAGATGATGCCGACACAAAAACTCTCCTGCTGAACATCTTCCAAGACACAAAGTAAGAATGGAATCAGTGCTCTGAAACTCCGCTGTGTCTGAATGAGGTAGTGCTGGAAATACCACAAAATTGGCTTCTAGAAGTGAACTTGAAAAAGGGATAGAACTGAGAAGAGAATGGTCAATAGAACAGCAGTATTTGGAATTTGTTCTAAAAATGTCAACTGAAAATCATTTATAACGCAGCATTGCACTTTCACACTTGAGAATTGGCTATATTTTCAAATATAACTTTAAATTTTATGCTACTTTAATGTTCTTTTTACCAATTTTGTGTTCTTTCTGTTGCTATTTAAGTTTAGATGATATCATGCTAGCATATCAGGAGAAACCTAAGGGAACATTCATTACCTTCTAGAGTATAAGTTTTAAAAAATGCCGGGTCTAAAACTTGAGTTTACTGGTTGTTAAAATGAGCATGGAGGAATGTTGGATTAAGAAGTGCTGAAAGTAGCTCTGGCCGGTTTGGCTCAGTGGTTGGAGCGTTGGCCCTCAAAACAAAGAGTGGCAGGTTCGATTTTGGTCAAGGGCATGTACCCCGGTTGCGGTTCGGTCCTGGTCCTGGTCGGGGTCATGGGGGAGGCAGCCAATTGATCTGTCACTCTCATATCGATGTTTCTCTCTCACCCCCTCCCTATTTCACTCTATCTGAAGATGAATGGAAAAAAATATCCTCTGGTGAGGATGAAAAAAAAGAAGTGCTGAAAGTAAATTATGCATTAACTTTAAAAGATGCTTAAAAATATTATGAAAGTAACGTACATTTTTCACATAAATTGTTTTTACATTTTATATTTTTATCATATAATTTCTTTAAAACATTACAAGTTTATACATTATAAAGCTATCTATCTTTATTTTGCTTTAGTCTTTTTTTCTGGTACATGCCCCTAGCGGGAGCCGAACCCAAGACTCTCTGGTCCGCAGGCCAACACTCCAGCAGCTGAGCCAAACTGGCCAGGGCTCACTATAGTCTTTTATTGAATCATTTATATGTGAACTGTTTGCCACATACCTATGTTACTAAACCTTACCTATGAGTAAATTGTGAATTTTAAATATTTGTAGGGATAAAAAGTTCTACCAGAGCTGTAATACATAGTACTTGAATTTTTTGTCTGCAACTTACAATATTTTCATTTCATTAGGTCCTTTCCCATGCACTTTGATGAGAAATCCATGTTTGCAGGCGACAAAAAGGGGGCCAAATCGTTAAAGGTAAAAAGTTCTTGATCGGGGGATAGGGTGGGGAGCAGTTTTAATCCTGTTCACCTGACTCTTCTTTCCCAGTTCCCCTTGTGGAAGCTGGTCTGTCTGATACAACAAGCCCCTTGCCCCACTGCCTTCTCAGTTCCTTTCTCCTTGGACCAACTGCTTCGAGAGTCCTTAGCCATTACTGTGTCTGAGTATGGCACCTTCGTAAATGTCATTAAAGGATATTATTCTGAGAATTTTCTTACTTTAAAATCACATTGTGTATTGTTGTTTTGATGCATCTTTCAAAAAATCATGAGCTATAATGCACTTTGAAGGCGATAAATAGTATATTTTTCTAAAGTTTATTTTATGGGATATGACAGTTTATGAAGCTCTTATGTTTGTGTCCTTATGGACTAACATAAAAGGCAAAAATTACCTGTTCACCTGTGATATCAGAAGGAGAATCTATTTTAGGGACATTGTGTAGCTGCATGTGAGGAGGTCTTTGTTTTTTGTTTTCCTTTGCTTACAGTAAGTACATTAAGGAATACATTGCACCCTTAAAATGTTATAAAAGTATTTGAAATTGGCTGGCAAATAGTCTTCTAGTGCAACTCCATAACCTCTTATGTGCAAATTCAAAATCCAGAAAGCTTTAAAAACTGAAACATGTTTCTTGTGTTTGGTGCAAATTAGTTAGCAAAAGCTGACCTGAACCGATGTAAGAATATGTATAGTCTTTTAAAAAAAATTCTGCTTCGTGTAAATATTCTTACATGTTTGTGTAAATATTCTAATAGAAGCATTAATGTATTTGCTTCCAGGGTGTTGCCACACACTCTGCTGGAATGTTTCATAATAAATAGCGTATGTGCCCTGGCCAGTTTGGCTCAGCGGTTTAAGCATCGGCCTGCGGTCCGGAGAGACCCGGGTTCGGTTCCTGCTAAGGGCACGTACTTTGGTTGCAGTTTGTCCCCGGCCCTGGTTGGTCGTGCGGGTGGCAGCCACTTGATGTGTCCCTTCACGTCGATGTTTCTCTCTTTCTCTCTCCCTTCCTCTCTCTCCCTCCCACTCTATCTGTACAAAAAATGGAAAAATATCCTCGGGTGAGGATAAAAAAATAAAATTAAATAAATAAATAAATAGCGTATGTGCTGTGTTACTAAAGTCTGAAAGATTCTGGATTCTGAACCACATTTGTCCCTAAGATATTTTAGATGTGAATCTAATACATGAACTAATAAATTACCATTGAGTGGTTCTCCATTGTAAGAACTTTTTGGTATTTCTGAAATGAAATGATTTAGCCACACTCTATTTTAGTTTTGGAAGTTTGTTTAGTTTTATGGTTGTTTTAGAGGTATATTGCTGTTATAGTATTTAATATAATGTTAATTCATTTTTGTAATGCTTCCTATTTCCTAAGTAGTTACACAAATATTATACTTTTGATCTTCTGAATGCCCTTGTGTAATAACAGAACGACCATAATTATGTATCTTTTTGTAGGTGAGGAAGGTGAGGCTGAGAAAAGGCTGAGGTACAGCCAGCTTTCAGCTACAAAATGCTGGCAGTTTTGTTTGCTGTGTTTCAAGGACTTGTAAAGTAGAACTTAGGTCCATTTTTCCACCTGCTCCAAAGAACATGAATTGCATGAGAATGGAGAGCAAAGGAGTTTGGGTGTTCTAGTTACATTGTCTTTCTTTTGGCCAAGGTACTGGTTCCTTGGGGCTCGTGGTGGCCAGAGTTTTCAGACTACTGTCTCCAGCTTCATGTAATAAAATGTTCACCTCGGAACAGTAAAATGATTTTTATTTCCAAGTTTGCCATGGAAAAAGATAAGGAAACTTTTCTTGTTACCCTCAGGTAACATGAGACTGCCCTGAGTCATAGAAGCATGCACAGGTGCTCACAGGCAGGAGTCTCCCTGCGTGGGAATCTCTTACAGCAAAACTCCAGGGCTCTTCCCTGAGAAGCTGCCCTAGTGGATGTGGACTGTGCGATACCTCCCGCCCCCATTCAGCTGTGATCACCATGCTGGTGCAGGGCCCGTCATGAACAGCGTGGTATTAAGCAGAGAGGTGGAGATTAGCATTGTTCTGGGATGAGCTTTCTGATTTCCACTAACACACAGCAATATGTCGGAAATAAGTGGAACAGAATGTAGCTATATTTACCACTGGTTATATGCACAAACTAAACGAGGTAGCTGTGAAGTTCCTTAAAAGTACAAACGGTGTATTATTTATTTTCATGTCCCCATAGTGCATATTGGTGCTTTGCATGAGTTGCCCCTCAGTGAAGTTTATTGATTTGACATGTGGAATGAATTTTTTAAATTTTCACTAATGGTTTTATGCTATACAGTTTTAAATAATTTTATTTTTCTTTGTTGAAAAACAACTCATTTATTAATAAACTTCAAAATTTTTATTTCTTATAATTCAGACAAATGCAGTTTCTATTTAAATGTCTAATTAGAATGCAATTATTCTCTGCATGTTAGGAGGAATTCCGGTTACATTTCAAGAATATCTCTCGTATAATGGACTGTGTTGGATGTGACAAATGCAGGTTGTGGGGGAAATTACAGGTTTGTGTGTTGCCTTCTATTTTGAAACTATTATTAACCTTAAATTTTCCTACTGAGGAGTTGAAACTCTTTATTAAAATGCCCTCATTGTTCATTGAATTAGAGACCCAAAGTGTGGTTTTTCTGTATTATTGATGAAAAAGTTAATATTAAACTCTGTGGGTTATATGTTTATGTTTGAGGATGTTTTTCCTATTAGTCAATGTTAATGATTTTAGTTTTAGTGTGTCTGTTTCTATTGATACAACCTGAGATTCATTTCTGAACTTGATGGTTATAAATAGAATATATTAGTATTTTTATACCTACATAAAGGGTAAAATATAATGATATAAAAAGACTTACAAAATTTTGGTCACTGAATGTGGTTCCATGATGGGAAGAAGGCCACCTAGTCACAAAGTAGGCAGGTTTGGCCAAGCAGGCTCATTTCCCTATATAGTCTGTATGAAAAGGATTGAGATTTTGTGTTTTTCTACAAAGATGATAAGTCAGAAAATCAGGAGACAGAATTATTTTAATGGAGGCTACACAGAAATCAGATATTTTTCTTTTTCTCTAATGCTAATAAGAAATTATTAAGTGTAGGTATCACTGATAATTTTTAAATTTTGAGTTGACAGGGGCTGTAAAGAATGCTTTCAGGATTACGTTGAACATTGTAATCCTACTGTGATGTTTTCTAGGTTAATAAAAGGCATTTTAGTAGTTTGGAATAGTATGATAATGTGTTAAGCTGTTCAGCTCAGATAAATTTATCATGTGCCTATCTGTGAGGAAGGAGAAACTGTATTTTGCATAGTTTAATAAGATGGTGAAGTTCAGTTCATATGCATTTCCTGACTCATCCCAGTAACTGAGTATTCCTTTAAACCTGTATAGAAGTTATAATATGAATTGATTGTAAGTTTCTCTCTTCTTTAGACTCAGGGTTTAGGAACTGCTCTGAAGATACTGTTCTCTGAAAAAGAAATCCAGAAGCTTCCAGAGAACAGCCCATCAAAAGGCTTCCAGCTCACTCGACAAGAAATAGTTGCCCTTTTAAATGCTTTCGGGAGGTAAGGACTGACTGATTTCTCTGCTGTTTTCAGCCAACCACAGAGGTCATCTTTGCTACGGTAGTTTGCTTTGCAAAGAGAACATTTTTATCATATATTATCATACCTGTACTCACAAGCCAGTTTCTCTACAGCTCACAGCATTTCTGTGTTTGCCAGTGTTTCCCAGTTTGCCTTCTCAACTGTATGGGGAAGATATTCTCCCCTAATATTGTCCTCCTTAGCTGACCATACTTGTTTGAGAACAGTAGCAGGTACCGAGAACTTGGTTGGGAGGTGATGAAAGAGTGAGAAAATCACTGAATTGCTCTTCTTCTTTTTTTTTAATCCTCACCAGAGGATATGCTTATTGATTTTTAGAAAGAGGGGAAGGGGTATGTGTGTAGAGAGAGACAGAGACACAGACATTGATTGGTTGTCTTCTGTACGTGCCCCTACCAGGGATCAAACTTGAAAGGTTCGGTCTATGGGACAACATTCCAACCAACTGAGCCACACCAGCTAAGGGCTGCTCTTATTTCTAAAACTCATAAGGCATTTTTCTTTTGCTCATTCTTACCCCACTTTTTCTGTATATAGATATATATTTTGCTTTTTGTTTGTACCACAGATAGTTTCAAAATTAACTTGAATTTGCCTACAGAGATATGTGTAATATCAACCAACTGAGGAACACAGACAGAAGGAATAGAGAGAAAAATTCTGAGTTAAAAAGAGGCAGTTAAATGAAAAATAAGTTGTCCCTTCTCCGTCTTAATAGCAAAGATTTCACCTTGTTGCCTCCCTGTATTTAAAGATGACTGTGTAAGCAGAGGTTTCATACAAGATGGTTATAGAATGTTCATCGGTAATTGGTATTTCCTGAAAAATTCAGTCCTGTAGTAAGATAAAACAGGATAAACTGAATTGCAGTTAAATTACTTAAATGCAATTTAAATTGTTTAAGATGCAACTTAAATGAAAAATATTTTAAACAATTTAAACATTTTAAATGCAAATAAAGTTAACTTGAGAAAGAAGCAGATGTTAACTTCCTCATAATTTCTGAGTCTTGAAGAACTGCCACCTTCCTGTTGTAGTTCTACTTGAGAGCCTGGTATTACTTCTGTTGTCCTCTAGAGGGCGCTGGACACAGCCAGGGCTGCTATGGTCCTTGAGCCTGGCCCTGCTCAGGCAAATCACTTCCCTCTTCCAGCTGTCTGCTTGTTCTGCAGAATGAGGTGGACACAAACCTCTCAGAGTTCACATGAAGACAAAACAAGATTTTAAATGATAGTACCTCTTAAACCACAAGATGCTGCCTGAATCCGGTGGCAGTGCGGGTGGTGGTGAGGGTGATTCACAACACCACTGGGTGGTGAGTGCTCTTATTTTTTTTCCTGACTAGACGAGACGAGACAGGAGAAACCTGCCTTCTCTGAGGGGTGATGCTCCCTCTCCCTCCCCAGGGAAAAACAAATAGTGGTTAGCCATTCTCCTTTTATATCCAGTTGAGTTTTATTGTTTCCTTCACATAGAGTCTATACATTTCTTTCTTCTCCCTTAGTGAATGTTATAGTTTTTCTTAATGATTAATGGGATCTGTTAACTTCATTATATGTTCCACCTAATTATCACACCATTTAAATAATAAATGATTTGGGCAATACTGATCCACAAAATTATTCTTTTTTTTGTTTTTTTTGTTTTTGTTTTTGTTTTTCATCCTCACCTGAGGACATTTTTCCATTTTTTGTACAGATAGAGTGGGAGGGAGAGAGAGGGAGAGAGGGGGGGGGGAGAGAGAGAGAGAGAGACATCGATGTGAAAGGGACACATCGAGTGGCTGCCACCCGCACGACCAACCAGGGCCGGGGACAAACTGCAACCGAGGTACGTGCCCTTAGCGGGAACCGAACCCGGGTCTCTCCGACCGCAGGCCGACGCTCTAACCGCTGAGCCAAACCGGCCAGGGCACACAAAATTATTCTTAACTTTGGGGAGTTTATGCATTAGTCTTTCTAAAGTGAACTGGTAGTTTCCTCTGTCAGACGACCTGTGTAATACAGTTAATACCTGTTTAATACTCGTTAGGGCGCCCAGCGCAGCACTGCTTTCTCGTGATGCCGGTGGGCGGAGGCATACAACGAGATTGTCTGGTTCTGGCTCTGAATCCTGGAAATGGGGTTTCTTTATCTCGAATACTCTGCAAGCATCTTTTCTATACTGACAGCCATTTTTGATAATTTCATCACTTATATCAAATGGTTTATTTTCCAGGGAACAGACAGATATGACATTAATATACCTGTAGTACATTACAGTATATTTTAGCACCCTCTAAAAGGATAAAGCAGTAGTAGGTAGACACAGTCTACTGTGTGAGTATCTTAGAATAATAATGGAGAGCCTGGAAGATATCTCCTGGGAGGTCTGAATGCATCTCCACGGAGCCTGTGCTATAGTGCTGGGCAGTTTGTGCTTCAGGGAAAAGGACACACCTGTAGTTAACTGGTCCAATGACCTTTGGGTTCTCTGATCCTCTGTGTCTAAATCACACGCAGAGAGTGGTTTTACATTCTGAGCACATCTGCTCTTTACTAAGCTCTTTTTTTTGTTGTTGTTCAGATAGAGTGGGAGGGGGAGAGAGAGAGAGAAACATCGACATGAAAGGGACACATCGAGTGGCTGCCACCCACACAACCCAACCAGGGCCGGGGACAAACTGCAACCGAGGTACATGCCCTTAGTGGGAATTGAACCCGGGTCTCTCCAGACCGCAGGCCAATGCTCTAACTGCTGAGCCAAACCAGCCAGGGCTAAGCTCTTTTCTTTAGTTAGGCAGGCCTCGGTGTCTGTACTGCATCTTCATATATATTTTGGTAGGTCTATTTTTCCTAACAGCTACTTTATTAAGGTACAGCATATGATTTTGTACATTTATTTTGTTTAATAATCATATTCTCTTGTTTCCTAATAATTAAAAACTGTTTTACTCCTTTAATATTGATGATTAGAGTAAGAATTCATTTTCTATTATCCCGCAACTTGTCAGAGTATAAAGAAAATGATTTTGAGACAATAGAGAGCCTAGATTTTTTTGAGTGGCCATATGGTCTTGGATCTGATCAACTGGTTAGAACGCACCTGCTATTTCGGTGACCCTGGGCAAATTACTTGATCTATTTGAGCCTCAGCTTTTCTAGATGTAAAGTCAGGGTTAATTTTATCCACCTTGTAGGATTTTTTTTTTTTTTTAAACAGTTAATGAGATAATGTGTGTGACATGCTCACGACATTGCCTGGCATATCCTAAGTTTTTGGTATAAGAAAAATTATCATTTATTAAGTCCTTAGAGTAAAGAAAGGAGCTGAATACTGCATAATATTTTCCTAAGTTATAGAAAGAAAACATTAGATTTTTATTGTATCCACTCTGAATTGTACATAAGGATAATTGAGCTTATAGAATTGTTTTGTGACTCCCATTCCAGAGTTTTACTGCTAAACCAGGGTCCAGAAGTATTTTGTTCATTCATTCATTCATTCTTGATTGAACATCACAAACATGGGATTCAGTAGTAGACAATATAAACAGAATCTTTACCCTTACAGACTGTGGAGCTACCAGTGTAAAACAAATTAGTATGTTTGGGAGCAAAAAGAAAGGAGCGGATATTCGGAGAGAAATGTGCAAAATGAAATTTGTAGACTAAATGTAAATGTTTTGAGGTTATTTATTGTAATGAATTATTCATATCACTCTTCCCATAATTAATCTATTGATAGTAAGAGGTAACTGGCTTCCTTGGCCCCGTCTAAACCAAGACTAAAGAACCACAGCTCTGTGTTGCATTAATCTTTAATAAGTAATTATAGATATTTATTTTAAAGTAGAAGATTCAATGTTCAATATTGAATGCATTCTTTTATTTTGGATTTTACTTTCAAATTATAGCCCATACACAATATCAATCATTTGAAATATGTGCATATCATATTAGCTGTGCTAATGTGCTTTTTTTCTGTCCTATAGGCTTTCTACAAGTATAAGAGAATTACAGAATTTTAAAGTCTTATTACAACACAGTAGGTAATAAAGGCTTTTATATGTCTAATTAGAGACATAAAGTGACTGTGTGAGGACTTTTACTCTTGGACATTCAACAAAAGGAGACTGATCTTCAAAGACTTCAAGAATTCTGAACTCTTAAAGAGAAAATTAAAATGTTCACTTGAATATTTATGATTCGTAATAGACTGTCAATTAGAGGTATTTATAAATGAAGTATATACTTTTAAAACATGTAAGTTATGCTATTTCTGTATTTAATTTCATGTTTCCATTTGTTGAATATTCTGCTGTTCTGTTTTAGAATTGATTTTGTTCTTATTCTATTCTGTTTATTTCCATTTGTCAAACTTAAATGACTATGTCTCCATCCTGGTAACACTGTTAACAGTCTGTGGAAGAGGAGAGCTAGGGAACATATGTCGTGTAGGGCCGGTCTCGGTATGGACATTTATCAGTGACTTTAAATGTGCTTAGCCTTGCCTAGCTCCCTGCCACCGTCTCGGATGTGGAAGTGTCATGTGATGAGTGGCCTTGTAAGTGTATAGTTTCAGAAGTTACTTAATCCCCAGGACTTCATCTTCAGTTTCATTGTTTTTTATTTAAATTTTTAGTTGCTGTTGTAGTTTTGTTTTGGTCTAAAGGACCTGCTTCAGTAAAGGTGAGGAAGTACGGTCCCCTGTGCCACCAAGCCAGATTACCTGCGTGTAGAGGGCTAGCTCAGTATAAGGCTCTTTACTTAGAACCTAGATATCGGTTTCTTTTGATTTTGTTCCTTTGTTTCTACTTCAGTTGTAGAAATTTTCATTTACTCTAAAAAAAAATTGCGTAAATACTTACTAGTATTGATAAAATTTGAATGGAATTTTATGGATTTATAATGCCAATTTTAAAACATTATATGCACAAAATTTACTATTTTAAATTAATGATTTTATTTTAGGACACAATCTATGCAATCCTGTGAGTCTGATTTTCTTTGGTAGAATATTTAAGCAGGTAGATTAGTTCAAGCCTCTTAAGCTCCCCTCTCCCTGCTTTTTCTCTGGAGTTCACTGTATATAAATGTACTTTGCGTGATTTGTACCAACAGATGGCTCGTGAGTCCTAACAGTCATCTTCTAAACCTGGGGTTTAAATATCCTTAATATTTAAAATAATGATTTTTTAAAAAGATGTCAGTAGTTAACGTGGTTACTTTGGAAGGTCGCATTTGTGTGGAAGTAATGTGGGTACAAACTGGTTTTTCTTAGACTCTGCAGTCTCTCATGAAGTAAATAAGTGCTCTTAAACCGTCTTCTCCTGCCAAAGTCTGAACTGTGTTCACCGATTTAGTGGCATATTTTAAATTGTATGTAGTTGGCTCACCCCTCTTTTAAAAATATGTAGTCACCCTTGGAGGGAGAGATGTGGCTGGAGGGAGTAAGGACTCACTAGCTCTTTTCATGCCCAATTTCCAACCTTCACAGAGCCGGGTCTTGTTGATGGCTGTGGCCGGAGCCTGTTCCTCGCCTTCCTTCCGTCTCAGGGATGGGGGCGGGGGGGTCGGCTTGTCCAGAAGTAATAAGTAATATTGCTGGTGAATCAATAATTATTATTCCTAGTGTTCATTCAGAGTTTAAGAAAATGTGAAAGTTTTGCACTTTGTCTATTTTTACTATAAGTTTAAAAATCTTTTTGGTAATGTGACTTCTCCATTCCCTCTGTTAAAGATAAAGCCTATTATTTAAACTCGATTTACTACAGAAAATCCTTGGTCATTTCCGTTTATTGCTCTTTTTCTTTACTTTGATTTGTTTCAAGCTTAAGGGAAAAATGTACATTAGAGTGAGTTCTAGGAAATTCAAAAGTCTAGTTAGGGTAAAAAGTTCTTTTCAAAGTTGAAACAAATTTTTTCACTACCGAGAAAATAAACACAAGTATATTTAAGCTGAAATGTATTTGATTCACTTATTTTGCTACAAGTTAAATTGTGGGGGCAGCCTACATTTTTGTGTCTGTGTGTATTTCTTAAGTGATTGTGTATATTGTAAGAATCTTTGTGAGCCTGGTGATGTTTTATGGTTCATGTGATATAAACCATAAATTCGCATACCTTTTATTTTTCCAATTCACATACCTTTTGCTGTGTAGCAATACTAGAGTGTTGATTGCTTTGTGAAAATGCTTGGCGTTCTTTTATCTCATCACCTGATTTGAAACTCCAGCACTTGATAATATAATGACAAATTATTGCACCAGCTGATGAAGTAATGAAAATGAAGAGAAAGAAAAGATCTCTTCCTTCAATGGTATGAGTTTATTTTTTTTTCGTAAGTGGCATCGATATAAGTTAGAAATACGACATATTAAAATTGGTAAAATTTGATTGTTTCTCCTGTGTTGATTCTTAGACTATGAGGAGGATCAGACAGAACAGTAATAATTTTCACAGTTCTGAAATTTGATAAGTCACACGTTTTGATGTTTTAACATTGAATTACTCAACATTTGTAATCATACAGAGTATTGAACACCCTGCCATGTTTTCCAACTTCACCCAGGTGCCACTGTATGTAAGAACAGCTGTTTTGACCTTCAGCAGCATTGCCTTCAGCTGGAAATGGGACAGTTTGCTGTGACCCTCAAGCAGTTTGCGAACCAAAGTACCTGCAGAAACCGTAGCCAGTCACCCAAATAGACTGGGTGCAGGTACCACGGCGATGACTTGGTGAAACAACACCACACAGACAACACACGTTTATGTGTGCTCTATTTTAAGTGGCAGCTACAGGTACACCTGTGATTGCAAGAATTGCAAGTAATGTGCTGTCGTACCCAGCCTATAGTAAAAAATATGACAAAGTAAATGTTTCTGCCACCTTTCTTTCTTGTTACTTCCCCCCTTTGTTTGAGAGGAGGATTTGATTCAGTTTGTGGAGAAGGGAGAAAATCTGAAGTAGTTTGGGGTCGTTCCTTCCGGTGGGGACCCGGGACGGCAGCCCCTGGCAGCTACGGCCGGCTTTGTGTGCATGGCTCCATCCCTGCAGCGCACAGCAGGTCGGGCGCTCCTACAAGTAAGGAGCTGAGGCACGGGAGGCCAGGTCGCTTGTCCACCGTCAGAATTCCAGGTTGTGGGCCTAGAATTTCAAACCAGGAAGTCTGAGTCCAGTGTCTCCGCTCAGAACGTGCTGTGTCTGTGTGATTTTATAAGTTGGTTCATTACTATTCCACTAAAAACTCGGGACTTTTGGTATCTTTTGAATTGAGTCATAAGGCTTTTTAAATATACTTATTTTATTTAATTTTTGACTAGGAATTACATTCACATGGTTAAAAAACCAAAAATGGAAAAGCTCTACAGTGGAATGTCTTCTCTGTATCCATAACCCCCCCCCCCCCCAAATAACCTCTGGTCTTGGCTTCGCAGGTCCCCATCCACACTGAGGCCATCCAGACTCGTCTGGGCACCGAGAGCGCCTCACGCACGTCTGTGTCCACTGACCTTCCTTGGCAGCCCTCCGCTGTCGCTGGGTGGCTTTCTCTTCGTTTTTGTTTTGTTTTGTTTTAAGTGACTGCTTGGTATTCCATTATATGAACATGCAGTCATTTAACCAGTCCCTATTAACAAGCATTTCAACACAAAGTCTCCAGACCTTGTGTTGATGTAATTTCACACACATAATTATGCAGCTGTAGAATTGGGGGGTAAAAGACCATATGCATTTGTAAGTTTGAGAGATTTTAGAACATTGCCCTCGATGGGGCAATCACATACCCGCCTGTAATTCAGACAACGCCCGCTTACCCACCGCCTCACAACATGGATGTTAAACTCCATATCTGCCATTGTGATAGATGCAAACATACATGCCAGTGTTTTTTTGTTTGTATTTTTATTACAAGTAAATTTGACTACATTTGATGTTAGAGCTATTTGTATTTCCTTTGTGTTCCTGTCTTTTGCCATTTTGATGCTGCCTTGTTGGCCTTCCTGTAGATTTCCAGGAGTGCTGTGTTGGTCGGGACGGTGACCCTTTCACTGTCAGGAGCTGCAGAGTCGTTTTCAGTGTGTTGTCTGCCTTCTGACTTTGCTTATGGTGGCCTTGCCACGCGAGCTTTTGTTTTTATGGAGTCTATCAGTATTTTAGTGGTTTCTGGACTTGGAGTCATATTTAGAATGCCTTCTTCATTCTACAGCAATAATTTTCCAATATTTTTTCTAGAACTGTTATGGAATTTTTCTTTAATCTAACTTTTTATTCCTTTGGAGTATAAGTGTGGATGAACCTAATTTTCCTAGATGATGACTCCCAGCCATGCCAGCACAGCCACTGCAGTCTGTCTTGCCCTCACTAGTGCACGGAGCTGGTTCGGCGTACCGGCTCACCGGCCTGTGCGCTCTGCACCAGCTCCACTGGTTCGTTATTCCGGCTCTGCGTTTAGGATCTGCTTCCTTGACCCTCATTGTCACCCCCAGCCCCTACGCCCCCTTAAAAATATGTTTTTCTTCAGCTGTTTTTGTTTATTCCATATGAGCTTTAAAAATTCTTTAACATAGTAGATCATGGTAAAGATCTACTTTTTACTGACTGTTGTATTGTGTCAGTATCCTATTTACCAGTGCCCAAACAGGTGAGGGCGAAGAGGCAGGGCGCACCCTGGCCGGTGTGCTCAGTGGGTAGAGCGTCAGCCTGCACACCAAAGGGTCATAGGTTTAATTCCCACTCAGGAGGCACGTACCTGGGTTATGGCTCACTCCACGCCCCAGTCGGGGCACATGCTGGAGGCAACCTATCGATATGTCTCTCACATCGATGTTTCTCCCTCTCCCCGTTTCCTTCCTCCCCTCCATTCTGTTTAAAAAAAAAAAAAAAAATCAATGGAAAAAATATCCTCCAGTGAGGATGAACGAGAGAGAGAGAGAGAGAGAGAGGGAGAGAGGGAGAGAGGGAGAGAGGGAGAGGTTGTCATGCTGTTTTGACAGAATTTCATCTCACGGCTTTTATATAAGACTCAGCTTCTAAGACTAATTTGAAAACTATACATAGAACCCTTACTTCCTTTTTTATCCCATCATGAATTCTTTGTCCAAAAGTTGGACATCTGTCAAAGATTCGTAAGAAAACACGGAGGGGACCCTAAAAGAGGAGTACACCTGTGAAGTCAGCACGCCTGGGTCAAAGCACAAGTGCGAGAAGTTACCTTACAGACGCTGTCCCCGGGAGAGCGGGGCTGACTGTCCATCGCTGTTCTAGGGACGAGTGTCCCGGCCAGCGGAAGCTTAGGGCTCTGCAGCCTGACTGGGTTATGTGCAGACATACATGCACCCAGAGAGGAGTCTACCCGTCGAGGAGCTGACATGGACACTGGGGGAGAGGCCCTCCATGTGGATGGGTCTTACTGGCCGTGTGACAATGCCATCAGGCTGTCACAGATTGCTTAGTTGTCCACCTAATGCCTGGCCAGGGCAGAATGAGCATTCACCTTGCTGTCTGTTTCCACGTGGATTTCCTTCACAGAACACACCCCAAATGGGTAAGTGTTCTGTTTGTTCCCTTTGACAGGTTTTTAATCTGCGAGTCTGAAGCCCAGACCATGGGCCAGTGACTTCACCAAGGGCACAGCACAAGACTGCTCACTGACACAAACTGGATGGCCCTGGTAAAGCAGTGTGCTTACCCTACATGTACCCCTTCATACCTCAGTGCCCTTCAGGGCACCATGACTCGGAACTGCAGACAGACGGAAACTGTCGCGGGGTAACTGTTCATGGGAACTGATGCTCAGGCCAAGGAGAAACAGGTCACAGCACTCGCTGAAGGAAGCAGGCATCTGAGGCAGAACACTGTCCTGGCGGGAGAGTCTCGTGTTCTGATGGCAGGCACTTTGGAGGCTACCGAATTCACGGTGGCAAGTGTGGTTAATTTCCAGAAAGAGAGAGGATTAGTCCCAGCGCAGGTCAAGGAACAGAGGTAAGGAATCCAGCTTCAGATCTGTTTCTTGGGCTCTGAACCCCCGACTTAAGGACCTGGGCAGCAAGTCTCAGAACTCCACACTGATGACCTTTCAGTGCCCAGGCCAGAGGAGCTGGACGACAGCTATGGGAAATGAAGTCACTAGCAGACTTCAAGGTATTTTGACCCTTTGGTGCAAGGGCTCTTCACATATCCCAGCTAAGGGCCAAGAGGAGGGTCAACAGTGTTGCCGGGTTTACAGACCCCCAGACACGTAACAAGTACCGAGCTCAGTGTCCATTATGCAATGGGCACTTAGTGGGCACGGACCGAATCCCACTCCCTTATCCTCACTGTCCCTTTCTAAAGAAATGTTTCCTCACTTTATAATCAATTCATTTATAGTCTCTGATGAGAATTCTGTTTTAGCCTGTCCCTTTCCAACAAGTCCTCCATCTGGACCATGAGAAGTCTGAAGGAGCACTATGCAGTTAGAAATGTTTTAAATAAAATGCTCACTTACATGGGATAAAAATGGAAATACGTATTAGCTGTGCCTTTGGTCGGACCTGTACTAGTCCGTATCTTACCACGCAGTCATCTAAAGTGAAAGCAAGGGATCCTTTTAACCAAGTTTCGTTAGTTGGAAATCTTGACAAAGTTTCAAATATTAAGACCCATTTACATCTAATGTTCACCATTACTGTTAAAAAAATAAAAGCAATGTTCTAGTGATGGCCATTATGTAACTATGTAAGTGAGAGCCTCCTTCTCAAAGCACTTCTCACACTCTGGGCCCAGGGGTTCCCAACCTTCCTAAGGCCGCGACCTTTTAATACAGTTCGTTGTGCTGACCCCCAACCATAAAATTATTCTCGTTGCTACTTCATAACTGTAATTTTACTACTGTTATGTCTTAGGCGACCCCTGTGAAAGGGTCTTTCGACCCCCAAAGGGGTCGCAACCCACAGGTTGAGAACCGCTGCTAGGGTCTACCAATGCTTCTTCCTTTCCTCTTAATAGGCTTAAGTGCTCAATCAAGGCCACCAAAAAGCAGTTCTTTTGGATTATGGCGAAAAAGAGAGCCTGGGCGTGTGCTAGCGACTGTGCCTGATCGTTGCAGTTAAACATGGTAACCACACAGTTAACATGCCTGACACGTTCAGGCAGGAACTGACATAACTACGTGTGGTTGACGTACACGTTTTAAGAATCAAAACTTGGTGCAGTCCACAGCTCTGTAATGCACATCTTGGACCTTCTGTCTGCCTGACTCAGGCAGACAGAAGGTCCAAGATGTGCAGGGAGAGACTCTGCCCATGTGTTTTTAACTTTAATTACATTGTATGTCCTTAAGATACATTTGGGTACATCAGAACCAGTAACCGCCATTCCTTGCCTTCTCTTAGCCTTTAATATTTCACATAAGGAGTTTGTTTTTGTTTTTATCCTCACCCGAGGACATTTTTCCATTTTTTGTTCAGATAGAGTGGGAGGAAGAGAGAGAGAGAAACATAGACGTGAAAGGGACACATCAAGTGGCTGCCACCCACATGACCAACCAGGGCCGCAAACTGCAACCGAGGTATGTGCCCTTAGCGGGTACTGAACCCGGGTCTCTCTGGACCGCAGGCCGACGCTCTAACTGCTGAGCCAAACTGGCCAGGGCCACATAAGTTCTTTATTAGTGTACTTAGCACACGTAAATCAGGAAACCAAAGGAAATTTTAATTTTCCTTTCCATCCAAATCTGCAACATTTCACAGGGTATATATGATTATATACTACAAGAGAAAAAGTTTGATACAGTTGTTAATATTCTGGATGTTTCTAACACTTGTGCTTTAACATTACTTTTTAAAAAGGGGAATAAGAGAAAAATAGGCATCTAGAACATTTTTATCCTTTCTAATAAAAAATAACAGTTCAAATAAGTACTAGCAGCTTTATCACAAAAACAGATTATGGCTTTTTCCAATTAATGCTGGGTACTTCAATTTCTCTACCAGTAATAACAGTAATAAAGTATTTATACACATCATAAGATGAGTATAATAATTACATGATTTTAGTGATTTTTTTATTACTGTTTTAAGAAATGTATCTACCCTTGCCCTGGCCGGGAGGCTTAGCTGGTCGGGGCAGCACTCTGCGGCTCCATCCCCGGAAGCACCAGTGAATGGGTGGAACAGCAAATCAATGTTTCTCCCTAAAATCAATAAATTAAATTTTAAAACATTTTTAAAAATGTAAGAATACATCTACCCTTGGATGAGCTGACATGAACAGCTGCAGCGCTTTTCTGAAAGCTGACTTGGCGCTGAGCATATGAACCTGCCTGAGATCCTAAGTACCAGTGACAAAGATGGTGTGACAGGCGACAAGGGTGTTCTTGGAGCTATTTAGATGAACAGCGTATGTCTTAAGGCAGTCTGAATGATCAGTGCAAAGTTTGCTTCAGTGTAAAATTTCCCCTGAAGTGACGATTTTAAATGATGTGGGACCCAGATGCTTCCCTACACTGCAGGGTGGGACTGTCCAGTGGGATTACGCAGGGGAAGGTGTTCCGGACGCATGAAAACCGTCACGACCGAGGTAAGACGTGAGACCCCGTCTGAAATCCCTCCGGGGTCAGAGAGTAGACGTGATCGCTGTGCAGTCAGCGCCCGAGATAAACTTCCTGAAGCCCAGGGCGGGGAGAGACCTCTGAAGGGTCAGAGCGCCTTTCCCCGTCCTGAGTGAACTCCCTGGGAGGCAGGGCCCGCCTGGGGGACAGTACTTCCTCCAGAGCAGGGGAGCTTCCTCCCTAGGCCGGACCCTTCCGCACAGCTCCTGCTGTCCGTGGGCGCACCTGCGGGTGGGCGGCCGCCTGCAGACGGTGCAGGAGCGGTGTCTCCGTTCCTAAGACCATCGGGAATGTGTGTTTTCCGATGGTCTTAGGCGACCCCTGTGAAAGGGTCGTGCGACCCCCAGGCTGAGAAGCGCTGCTCTAGGGCCGCAGCCCTGCTCTGCGGCAGTCAGCACGCACCTCCGGGGCTCCGGGGCTCCGGAGCAGGCAGTCTCCCTGCGCAGAAGCACGGACACGCTGCACCGAGGAGCGTCTCGGAGGTCCTGGGGGCCCTTGTGGTTGGAGAACCAGAATTTCATGACGTTTCACCAAAGGAAAGACGCAGAAGCAGGTGTCTGGGACGTGCCTCCCTCCTGTGGGACTGGGACGAGGGCCGTGCGGTGTCGAGGGCGTCCCCGGGCAGCGCGCAGCTTCCGGCAGCTGCTTTCGGAGCGACTCAGAAAGAGGTTTTAAATATGGTTGGAAATTAAAGGAACACTGTTAGGATTCCCCAGTCTGGGGGCTCGGGGCCAGGGTACTTGTTAGTGACCCCTCTGAGATCCCTCCTTCAACATCACGGACGTCCAGAGTTGGGAACGCGCATTCCTGCCACAGCCCTGGGGTAACGGACACATTTCATGGGGCTGAACACTGCGAAACCTGCCCAGAGCAGAGGAGCTTGCGAACGTGAGCGAGCTCTGCCGACGTTCCGACACTGTCATCTGAGCGTGCGGGTGAGCGCCCTCCTGAACAGGAGCACCGAACTTCTGGCAGCACCGAGGTTCCTGGAGGGACCCACCACCCGGCCGCGGTGAGCGCGAAGGAGCCAGGGCCCTGGCCGGGAGCCTGCTGACACGGCTCCGCTCTGGCCCCGAGCGCACGCAGCCCCAGCACTCAGACTGAGCGGCCGCGAGGTAGGGGTCTGAGGAGCGCTTTGGCCCAAAACCCTTAAAGAACCCTCAGACCACAGACTGTATACTTTTAAAGTGAATTATGCATAAAAGTCTGTGCAAACTATAACATGTATTGCAGTAACATTCTCAAAAACCCCTAGTATATTTTAGCATTATTATTTAAGTTATATAAAATACATTTTTATCAAAGCACGGAATTTTTAAAGTTTAAATTATACCCACTGAAACAGGCTGCCAGGCTCCCTTTTTAGTACTAAAATAAGGTTTTATCAGTCTAACTTATTGCTTAGTCCTATGGAGCCATCAGAAACCTGTGAAAAATAAGATCAAGTCCTATTTCCTAAGGAAAAGTGCCCTAGATTCAGCTGTCTAAGTTAGTCCTTCCGAGGCCTTTCAAAGGAGAATCTTCCATAAACCTGAACGGTGCTGCCCACGGCCTGGTGTGTCAGGACCCGAGCGAGTCCGGCGGTGAGGCTGCCGCGTGTGCCAGGAGGCCGCTGGCCTGTGCCCAGTCGCAGTAGTCCGGAGGAACACTGCAAAGAAAAAGACGCATTTCGGTGACTCGAACATCATTCTTATTACTGATGACTTTGTATAAACTACCCACAATTCCAAGGTGTTCTTTTTTAATTTTTTTTCTTTATTAATTTTTAGAGAAAGAGGAAGAGATAGAAACATCGATGAGAGAGAACAATGACTGGCCTCCTCCTGCAAGCCCCCGACTGGGGACCGGGCCCACAACCTAACTGGGAACTGAACCGGCGACCTCTTGGTGCACGGGTCCACGCTCAACCGCTGAGCCACACCAGCCAGGCAGTTCCAAGGTTTTTTAAGGCAGCTTCTTAAAGCCCATTTTTCCATCAGACAGTGCTCTGCACAGCAGCCAAAAGTCCACTCACAAAAGTCTGCTGAACTTTTAGAGCCCACAGCACAGAATTACTAGAACCATAAACCAGTGACAACATGTAACAAAATGTCCTCGCAACAACCTGTACGTGGACCCTAACGCAGAGTGCGTATCATTCATGCCTGTGAGTCTTTGGACAGGCACCTCTGTGCCCTGCTTCATCATCTGCGACTACCTTGTTGGGCTTTTTTGAGTTAATACCTATAAATTGCTTAGAACAGTATCAATACAGAGTTAGCACTCACAGTGTACACTTATTGTTATTTTCCTCTGTGTAGGGGACGGGTCTTCCCCACGGAGGCAGGGGGGACTCCCGCGGCTCTGGCTTCCGGCAGGGGAGGGGGAGGGCGCATCCACAGAGAACACACACGCCGTGCGAAATGCGGCGGGGTCAGGGGCCAGTTTCAGGGTTAGGTTAGGACAGCGCTGGACCTCAGGACGCCCTTGCCCCCTGCTCGCTGGCAGACGGGCTGTGCTGCCTGCATCTGCGGGCTGGTCTGCGGCCGCTTTCCCAGCACCATCTTCTATTTCATCTGACGGATGTCTGCCTCCCAATCCACCGGGAAGGCTGTTCTCCCAGCTCTTCCTCAGTTCCTTGCCCCTAAACAAGGGCTCCCTTCAAGCTCTTTTAAGGTTTTCTAAGGACTTGCACATCTTTTTCATTTCCTCCTGGGCGGGGGTAATGGTGGGGTAGCTGTGGAAGGGGTGCGCCTTGGGGTAAAATGCTAATGACAGGTCTTTAAGTCCACAAAGGATCGCGTCCAATAAGCTCTCACTTCTAAGAAGCACTGGGCCTGAAGCTTCCCCTTCCCAGGAACAGTGCAGGGTCCTGGGACAAGCACAGGGCAGCCAGTGTCCTCCTCTGGCCCGCTGGCCTCCCAGTCCCAGATGCACAGTGGTGTGTGGCTGAAACATCAGGGCTGCGGACAGGGGAAGGGAATCCGCTCTCCTGTCCTCAGACTGTGCTGGTGGCCTGGCCCAGGTGAGAGGCACATAACCCCGGGAGCGGGTCTGTGCTCTGGCTGCAGTTAGTCTCACACACAGGTGCATCCTCTCTGCTTCTCACCCTACCTGCAGCTGCAGGGTTTCCACAGGGCGCTTTGTTCCCGCTGGAATCCATGCACCAGGGCTGCCCTCCCCTCCTACCCATGCCTCCATGAAGAGGGGCTCACCTTCCCTGAAGGCCCTGAGGGGCGATGTTCCAGGCAAGGTCGTCATCACTGTCGTATCTTCGAGGGTTGTCAAAGAAGTAGGACCTGGGACTGAACCCATGGCCAGGGACCATTCCAGGGCTGGTCTAGAAAGACAGTTACCGTTCAGTGCGTGCTCAGACACCGGGTCTCCCACGACAGGAAAACAAGATGTCCTGCGGGAGACAAAAGACGTCCTGCCCCTCTGGACAGAGGCTCTCCGTCAGCCACAGTGGTCATTTCTCTTGCCTATATTTTTAAGAAGTTCTGTTTCTTTTATCAGTATGGACAAAATCTTTCAGAGTTCTGCTTTCAACAATGAACTACCATAGTATTAATCATAACAGAAAACCGGACAATGCTCAAATCAGCCACACTAGATGGTCCCAAACTGGATATAAACCTATATGACAATGTGGGCATTCAGAGCAATTTTAAATAATAAAATAATGATGAAATAATTTTGAAAAAGTTTCTTATCCCATTTCTATACCCTGACTCTGTAATTATTTCATCCTGTTTCTGTCCCCAAGCTGAGTTTGCCTCTCAGAAAGTTTCAAATGCCTGGTTTCAGGTGAGCAGATGAGACCTGCCCGGCTCGGCAAACCTCACCTGGCTTCGCAGCCCGTACTTGCCTGACATCCTTGTACATGTCATCAGTGGTCTAGCTCAAGGTTAACCGAAGAGGATGAAACACAGCTGTCACACGAGGGTATCTATACGTGAATTCCTGCGTTTCCACGGCTAATGTACCAAATCCAGGGGCAAAGTGGATCCTACAAGGTGGTGCCCGACAATGAACTGCTGTAGCGGCTCAAGAATGTCTACGCAAAAGATTGAAGTTGGACCCTGACCTCATATAAAAAGTAACTCAAAATGGACCAAGGACCTAAATGTTAAAGTAAAAACCATAAAACTCTTAGAAGAAAACACGGGCAAATCTTCATGACCCAGACTTTGACAAAGAAACCTCAGATATGACACCAAAAGCATGAGTGACAAAAGAAAAAACATACACTGCTTCGCATCAAAATTAAAACTTTTTAAATTTCTCAATGGTGTCCTTTGAAGCATAAAAACCCACAGAAAAGGAGAAAATATTTGCAAATCATGTATTTGACAAGGAACATCTAAAATATATAAAGAACTCTTATAACTCAATAAAAAAAAGGCAACTCAATTTAAAAATGGGCAAAGGATCTGAAGAGGCATTTCTCCAGGAAAGCCAATGAGCACATGAAACGCTGCCTGACATCACCCGGCATCGGAACGGCAACGCGAAAGCCACAGGGAGGCGGCACGCACACCCGCAGAGTCTGGCATCAAAGAGTCAGAGAAGTGCTGGGGAGGATGTGGGGGAGCCAGGCCATCCGACCAGCCTCTGTGAATGTAAGATGGTATGCCCTCTGTGGAAAAGAGGGGCAATTTTTCAAAAAGTTAAACACAGTTACCATATGACCCAGCAATTTGTACTCCGAGATATAATCCCAAGAGAAATGAAGACATTCATTTTCACACAGAAACCTGTACGTGACTTTTTTTTTTAAGAGAGAGAGAGAGAGAGAGAGAGAGAGAGAGAGAAACATCGATGTGAGAGAGACATATCAAGTGGTTGCCACCCACACAACCCCAACCAGAGCCAGGGACAAATTGCAACCGAGGTATGTGCCCTTAGCGGGAACCAAACCCGGGACTCTCTGGTCCGTGGGACGACGCTCTAACTGCTAAGCCAAACCGGCCAGGGCGAAACCTGTACGTGACTATTTATAGCAGCATTATTCACAATAGCCAAAAGATGGAAACAACCCAAATGTCCACCAGCAGATGAATGGATAAACAAGATATGGTATATCCATACAATGAAATATTATTGTCATAAAAAGGAATGAAGTCCTGATACATACTACAACATGGATGAACCCTGACAGAAAACCACATACGATATAAACCACTTGTATGAAAGTCAAGAAAGGGAAATCTATAGACAGAAAGTACCCTGAGGGTGAGCTGGGGTTGCGGAGGGGATGGGAGTGATAGACAAAGGGTACAGGGTTTCTCTGTGAGGTGATAAGATGTTCTAAAAACTGGTTATGGTTGTACGTGTCTGAATATCCAAAAAGCCACTGGCTTGTACACGTGGAATAGGTGAATTATATGGTATGAAAATTATATCTCAAAGCTGTTTAAACAAAAAATATATATGGAGAATCTCAAACTTTACCCCAGAAACTCTGACTTGGGTCTAGTACATGGATTATCAGAAAATACCCCTAAAAAGTATATGTCAACAAAATAAACAACCTGGAAGAAATGGATACATTCCTAGAAACATACAATCTCCCAGGGCCAAATCAGGAAGAAACAAAATCTGAACAGACCAATAACTGCTAACAAAGTTGAAGCAATAATAAAAACTCCCAACAGACAAAAGACCAGGTGAATTTTACCAAACATTCAAAGAAGAATTAATATTTATCCTCTCAAACTATTCTAGAAAATTCAAGAGGAGGGAAGGCTCCAAAACCCATTTTCTGAGGCCAGCAGTACCCTGACACCAAAACCAGACTAATTACAAAAAAATAAAATTACAGGCCAATATCTTAGATGAACATAGATGCAAACATCCTCAACAAAATATTTGCAAACTGAATTCAGTACATTATAAAGATCATATACCAATATCAAGTGGGATGTATTCCTGGGATGCAAGGTTGGATAATATTCACAGATAAATTAACATGGTATACCGCATAAACAAAATGAAAGACAGATAAAAAAGGAACATGGCATTGGGCAGGACCAGAGCCAGGGTGAGTGTGTGAGGGTGTGAGCAAGTGTGAGAGAGTGTGAGTGGATTTGAGTGTGGATGAGCAACCATGCAGCAGTGTGGAAACTTAGGGCTGAGGGTTCCTGTGCTGTGGATGGGGGAGCAGCCTGCTACAGCTGTGCACTGCTTGGCCGGGCCTTCTCCCTGCTCAGGGCTGGAAGACCCTGCCATTTTGGAAGATCCACTGGGTCCTCTGGGAGGAGGCAGCAGAGAGTGGCTAAGGCCTAGCGACTCATGGCCACCAATGTGCCTTGCACCATCGGACCAGTGGCCCCCGCTGTGCCGATGGGGGCCAGTGCACAGTGTTGGTGCTGTGAAGGCAATTGCTCCCAGCAGAGCGGCAGGGCTCGGGAGCCGAGCACCACCCCCAGGAGCAGCTGAGGCTCTGGAGCCAAGCACCACCCCTGTGCCCAGCAGCAACAGAGGCTTGGGAGCTGAGACCCATCCCCTGGCAACAGCAGCAACAAAGATTGGGCGCTGAGCTCCACCAGGCAGCAGCAGTGCCTGGGGACCCTTGCACCCCAGCAGCGTACCAGCCACACCCACATCCCAGCAGCACCTACAAAAACAAACAAACATGAGCCACCAGCTGTCAATCCTCCCAGGCTCACAGCAGATGAGAGGCGCCAGCTGGAGGGCCATGCACCAGAACAGACTGGGAGGCACAGCAGTCTTATCTGATCTGCACCAACCTGCCTACATGGCCCAACACGCCTCACCTGGCCCCAAACTACCAGACTACTAAAATGGTGAGACAAAGAAATAACTCCCAAATGATAGAAAAGGAGGAATCACCAGAAAAGGAACTACATGAAACAGAGGCAAGCAGTTCGTCAAATAAACAATTCAAAGCAGTGGTTTTAAGGGTGCTCAAACAACTCAGTGAGAATTATAAGCAACTGAATGAGAACTACACCAGCATAAAAGAGATAGAAGCTATGAATAAAAATCAAGTAGAAATTAAGAATGGCATAGCTGATATAATAAAATACCTTGGAAGAATTCAATAGTAGATTAGAAGAAGCTGAAGGCCAAATCAGTAAAATTGAAGACAAGGTAGGAAAAAAACACCCAATTGGAGCAGCATATGGAAAACAAATTAAAAAGCAAGAGGAGAGTTTAAGGGAGCTCTGGGACAATATGAAACATAACAATATTCAAATCATAGGGGTACCAGAAGGAGAAGAATCAGAGAAAGTAATAGAGAACCTGTTTGAAGAAATAACAATAGAAAACCTCCCTAACCTGGTGAAGGAAAAAGTCACACAAGTCCAGGAAACACAGAGTCCAATCAAGATGAACCAAAAAAGACCCACATCCGGACATGACATAATTAAAATGGCAAACATTAAAGACAAAGAACCTTAGAGGCAAAAAGAGAGAGACAGAAAGTTACCAACAAGGAAGCTCCCATTAGACTGTCAGCTGATTTCTCAATACAAACACTGCAGGCCAGAAGGGAGTGGCATGAAGTATTCAAAGTAACGAAAAGCAAGGGTCTGAATCCAAGACTACTCTTTCCAGCAAGGCTAACATTCAAAATTGAAGGTGAAATAAAGAGCTTCACAGACAAAAAAAAAGGCTAAAAGAATCAACTACCACCAAACCATTACTGCAAGAAATGCTAAAGGGACTGTTGGAAGAAAAAGAAGAAAGAGAGAAAGAGGAACACAGGCATAAAGAATAAAAATGGCCCTGGCCAGTTTGGCTCAGCGGTTAGAGCGTCCGCCTGCGGTCAGGAGAGACCCGGGTTCGGTTCCCGCTAAGGGCATGTACCTCGGTTGCAGTTTGTCCCCAGCCCTGGTTGATCGTGCGGGTGGCAGCCACTCGATGTGTCCCTTTCACATCGATGTTTCCCTCTCTTTCTCTTCCTCTCTCTCTCTCCCACTATGTCTGTACAAAAAATGGAAAAATGTCCTCGGGTGAGGATAAAAAAAAAAAAAAAAAAAAGAATAAAAATGGCAACAAATAAATACCTATCGATAATAACCTTAAATGTAAATGGCTTAAATGCTCCAATCAAAAGACATAGGGTAGCAGATTGGATAAGAAAACATGACCCATATATATGCTGTCTACAAGAGACTCACTCAGAACAAAAGACTCACACAGGATGAAAGTGAAGGGATGGAAAAAAATTTTCCATGCAAATGGAAACGAAAAAAGGCTGGTATAGATAGATTTCAAAATAAAGGCCACAATAAGAGACAAACAAAGAAGGTCACTACATAGTATTAAAAAAATCAATCCAACAAGAAAATATAACCCTGGTAAACATGT